TTTTAAATAGGCAGGACTTTTAAGTGTGAGGAAGGATGAGTCATCACTGAGTACTAAGCAACGCGAGCTAATAATCCATAGTTTCATAAAAAATAAAAATGTCACCAAAAATGTCACCTAAAGGTTCATTGAATTTGATATCATTCTGGATGAGTTTACTTCAGGTCTGCAAATGTTCACTATCTATCATGGAAATTTCTGGTGTTCTTTACAAGCATGAAATGGTGTCAGTGCTAAAAAACGGGCATCATAAAAACAAGAAGGTCAGCACTTAAACCCTGGTCAATGAAAAATAACACAAGTGTCGTTAAAAGGAATATGACACAATCCACTAGTGGCTACCCCTGGCTTCTCACTAGTCTTGATTGGTCCCAGACAATGACTCCTAGAAGAGGCCGCTCCTGGTGGCTGTTCCTGTACTTCCTGTTTCCAGGTGGCTGTCCACTGCCACTGTCTGGGAAACCAGTGTCTGCAGGAGGTCCTCCCTTCCAGTATTTCAAAACCATGTGTATTGACCGACCCACATCTCCCTTCCCATCCCCAAGAAGCTGGGCATTGAAGTCTATGCTTCCGAGATATTGAGAATGAACCATCTGTGCATAGGATCGATAGTGTAACATTCTCTAGTATTTGGCCAGAACAGGATTTGACTGTTACTTCCACAAAAGCTATTGCCACGTTAAATTAAGCTGTGAGGCCATTCTCCTCTCTGTTCCACTTCTGAGTACAGATATTTCTAAAGATGTTAACAGAATCAAGACACGGATACAATATTCTCTCGGACCAGGAATGTTTTAAGAGACTGAGCCAAGAGAATGTCAATTTCAAGAGCTACCCACCCCTCCATCATCCCAATCCAGGTATCCACATGACCACCCTAGGATCAAAAAATTCCATGCATCCTATAAATTACCCAGAACACATCTACATAGTCTTTATGAAAGGGATCTATCCCATATGAGATGGCCAGCAAGTGACATTACATTTTCTTCTTCAAGCTTTTGATATTTTTAGTAGCCTATTGTTAGCAAATTATCCCTTGAATTTAAATAAAATGTTTAGTTGAGTTTCTGCCATTTCTTTTGTCTCAATCTTCTATGAGAACAGAAGACAAGTTGCAATTACTCTGTGTGCCTTTAATTGCGAGCTTCTCAAATCGTTCCCTAGTCCTCCAGATCAGGGTAAATCGTCTGTTTAACTTTGTACAGACCCTACACTCAGATCCTTTAGGTTTTCAAGTTCAGATTCCTTGGAAGAACAGAGAATATCACTTTAGAATTTCTAGTAACAAAAACATGAGCTATTATTCCTTAAATGGAATACTGACGATTCTCAATGCCAATTACATTTGGCAACCCCTTAAGAGATTGTAAGTATTGATTGGGGCGCCTAGGGGGCTCAGCTGGTTGAGCGTCTGACTTCAGCTCAGGTCACGATCTCACGGTTTGTGAGTTCAAGCCCCGCGTCGGGCTCTGTGCTGACAGCTCAGAGCCCAGAGCCTGCTTCAGATTCTGTGTCTCCCTCTCTCTCTCTGCCCCTCCCCAACTCATGCTCGGTCTCCCTCTCTGTCTCTCAAAAATAAACATTAAAACAAAAAAGCACTTTAAGAAAATCTACATGAACCAAGGTGCTCACGTTAGCCATTCTGAAATCTATAATGTTTCATTAACTATGAAACCCAAACAAAGGCAACTGAACTTTTAGACATAAGTCACTGGTTAGTGAAAGGCAAATGGTTCTGCCCAAACCATTGTCATTTATATTACGGCCCTGCACCTGATCCCGCAGCTAAGTCAGGAAGGCTCTGAACTTTTACAAGATACCAATAAGGTGACAATTTCGGGGAAAGCAATGAGAGCTAATTAAAACATTTGGTTAAACTATTTGAGTACCAAAGTTTAACCATAAAGTTGTGTATGAACATGGTAGCCCAGATGATCTGAAACCATCGATTACCCAAAAAATCCACAGTATTTCTCATGCCTCTTTCTTCCTAATCACACTCTCTTCCTCTTCCTTTGCTTTATCAAATCCGATTTACCTCTCAAGACCCTCTATCAGCCCTACCCCTTTCATGAATCATTTTCTGATCCATTTGTTTTCACTGAAGCGTTGTATCAGTGTGGACCATAATATTTAGCTATTGGTTGCACACACATGCATAGACATGCACACACGCATACGCTCAATCTTGTGTTGCTAATTGTTTTATGTGGTCTAGTTTATCATTCCAGCTAGTCTATGAGCTTTTAGTCTTGGAGAACAATCCTCACAGAGCACCAAGCATAATTTTGGATAGAAATCAGTCTCGGAAACTACTTAATTATTCTGATAATGTTTGGACTGCCACCTTTTATTTTAAGCATTGTGTTAAAAATGGAGGTGCTTAGGGTGCCTGGATGGCTCAGTCGGTCAAACGTCCGACTTCAGCTCAGGTCATGATCTTGTGGTTTGTGGGTTCGAGCCCTGTGTCGGGCTCTGTGCTGACAGCTCAGAGCCTGGAGCCTGCTTCTGGTTCTGTGTCTCCCTCTCTCTCCGCCCCTCCTCCACTCACATTCTGTCTCTCTCTCAAAAATAAACATTAAAATTAAAAAAAAAAAAAAATGAATGTGCTTTTTCTAAGACCATTCCCCAGAGAGTAGAAAGGCAGCCTAGAAAATCAGGGGCATAGCAGAAAAAGAGGGAGCAGGAAAGTAGTCTTTGATTAAAATGCTTCCTATAGACAACTCATAATGCACACAGTTTACTTTTGGATAATAAAAAGTCGACCATTTATAGATTTGCAATAAAAAGTATCTTAAAAGTAGACAATAGGGGCGCCTGGGTGGCGCAGTCGGTTAAGCGTCCGACTTCAGCCAGGTCACGATCTCGCGGTCCGGGAGTTCGAGCCCCGCGTCAGGCTCTGGGCTGATGGCTCAGAGCCTGGAGCCTGTTTCCGATTCTGTGTCTCCCTCTCTCTCTGCCCCTCCCCCGTTCATGCTCTGTCTCTCTCTGTCCCAAAAATAAATAAACGTTGAAAAAAAAAATTAAAAAAAAAAAAAAAGTAGACAATATACTGTGCCTATCTAAGTTGTGGAGGTTTTGTTCTGTTTTGTCTCAGCTTGGCATTCTAAGAGAGTCTATAACTTGTTTGATGGCAATGTGAATAAGAGACTGCTTCCAAAGGAACAGGTGTCATTAAATAGATTTCTTTAGCCAGATGTATATAGGAAATAGCCAGTGCAAGACGACACTTCTAATCTAAAAACCTTAGTATCGGTCAGCTGGTTCAGAGGCCCCCATCATCCTTAGTTCTGGCATTAACAGACTTTATAGAACATGTCTATTATCATTATGTGACGACCCAGGGCTGTCCCTGGTTTACTTCTCTTTTGTTCATTTCAATGGTGGTGTTCTTAGGATTCCAGATGAAAGCTTGAAGTGATCCTTACCGAGAAAAGTATGAAATAATATTGCTTTCAAGACAGACGATTAATGTCAATGTTTCTGATACTGCTTGAGGTGTGGACCAAAGCATAAAATGTTATTTTGCCTTCTCTATGCAAAAAAAAGGAAAATTCCTCAAACCTATATGGAGTCTTCTCCCACGTAAAACATCACACAAAAAGGGAACCCAAAGGTTTCGTGGCCTCAAAGACTATCAGGAGGGAGGTCTGACTGACCGAGAAGGCCGGCATGCTATCATAGGCTCTAAACAGCGGGGGAAACTAGACCTGGTTGGGTGATTTAAAGGCAGAAATCTGACCCGGGGCCTGTAGACCCCCCGCCAGAGAGTTCAATAAAGGTGCTCGAGAGTTTCAGCAGGTGAATAGGGCGTTCCTCCTTCCGTACAACACCGAGAGCAAGCTCCTGGCAAAGTGGCAAGGCCCATACGAAGAAGTCTGGAGAATCGGTCCGTTCGATTATGACGTCCTGTGCCCAGATAAACAAGAGAGAGAAAAGGAGTCATCATGTCAACTGATTGAAAGCCTAGTGGGCACAGGAAGTGGTCTCGATCCACCCGGATGGAAGATTCCTCAGGTCTGAGAGATGGCAGGCCCTAGGGACGTGCTCCTGCCAGACAGCAGGGGAGACCCCGCTCTCAGAAGATGACTTTGGAGCGATCTCCTCCTCTTGGTTGGGGAGAACGTCGGTAGTAGCCCACCATGTCAAGAAAGGACCCAGATGCAAAGCTGAGAAAAGATCCTATAGGATCCCAAGAAGACATCAGTAGGTAAAAGCAAAAAGAGAACAAACCAAAAATAAAAAGAGGCAAAAGAAAACCCCAAAAGGAAAATCTGTCCATACTTAAAAGGTGGGTAAAAAAGATTATTCAAAGTAGTTGTAAGCCCGAATGAAACAGCACTGAAGGACACACTTCTATCAATTTTTGAGTTTTGCACGTTAATAGATGGTCCGTGTTCAAAACAACCTGGCTCAGGCGATTACCACTTTTTAAAGGACAGTCTGCTGGTATAATCTACCATCCTCAGAAATGTTGGAACTAGATTTCTCTTAACCCAGGTTTGGTCAGTGACTGCACTGCTGTTTACAATGCCATCTCTGTCCCCAAAGAGTCCTTCTGCGGCTGGAACCCACTTTTTTTCCACGTGTAACAACAAACCAGCTTAGCAACGCTAGCATTGGAAAAGGGATCCAAATCAATTCGAGCATATTCTTGCAAGGAGGAAAAACATAGGCTCGTCCGGTCTCTCACACTCATACAAAATTCACTTTTCACCTTTATTTTATTTAAAAAGAAGAAGAAGGACTCAAGAGAGTCTGCGAAGTCCTTCAGGTAGCAATTCCAGGGCTTAACTGCCCTATTTGTTAGGAAACTTCACTGTGTGATTAGTTCTAGAAAAAGAGGCAAGCTGTTGACAATTCTTAAATACTCCCAAACTTGAAAAAAATCCCTATACGTCCTCGTCATGTAACTTGTGGCTTCATTTTGGATTTGGAGATTCCCTTCTCATTCTCTGGTTTCCACGAAGAGAAGGAAATCAACCTCCAAGAAAGGGGGTGAGTGGCACCAATCTGGCCAGATGAGCCGTGTCACTATCCTGCTAACTACCTGAATGTGCCTCGATACTGAGCCATCTGGGTTTTACTTTTAATTGGAGAAAGGTCTCCTCTCATCTGATACTGAGGTGGTCCTTTGTCAGAAAAATCTAGGGCAGGGATTCTTAAAATAGGATCAAAAGACCACACTGTTTTAAGCTGCAGACTCCTGGGCCTAACCCCAGAAATCTCTCTGGGTCTAGAGGTGAAAAGCTCCTGAGGTGAGAAGCAGCATGCCCTCAGGTTTCTCCTCCAATGACAGTCATGTGTCTCATTCACACATGTGTCCTTCCACCAAGATCAGTGTCGAGTTTTGTGTATGTACTTCTTTATAACACAGAGAGAAGTCAAGCCTTTAGCCCCAGTCCTGCCAATATTGTACCTGAGATCCCAGATTTCTGCCCCAGAAAGGAGGCTTGACTGAAGTTATTAAACTTTTTGGAAGCTATGTGAGAATACCAAGTGAGATAGTATTAAATGCATGATAGCAGCTATTTAAAACACACACACACACACACACACACACACACACACACACACACACACACAAACTGGTAACAGAAATACGTGGAAAACAACTAAGGTATAAACTGTGAATAGCTCTTAAAGAGAGCAGAGAGGACTCCTTTTCCCCTGTTAGGATGAGTGGGCATTTTCTGTTGGGATTCTGGAACAACCCTATTCCATATGCTTCCAAATCTTCAAAGCGTACTTGAGCCACTGTTCATTCCCAGCACACTGATTCACAGGGAAAGGCTTTACGTGATGCCACAAGTTCAACTGATTGCTATTTTTCACACTTCAGAGTGGAGAACAGGGCTTAAAAACATCAAGCCTGCAGTGACAGTGTTAAACCTACAACAAAAGCCTCCGAGACCAAATCTTACTCCAAGAGACTCTGAGCCAAAAGTGGGAAAAGGTGAGCAACGGCCTTGCCAGTGTTTGTTAGTAAGTCAGCGGTCTCGATTTGAGAGAATGAACGTCTGAGTGGCAACGTTCTCAAGGTTTAAGGACATTTGGAACCTGGAAGCTGCCCTCACATCCTACTTTCAAGAAGGAAGGAAAAGTGTGAAGGAACGTACCGATGGCAGGGCCCCCTTGCTTCTTCTCTTCTAAGATGGCCGCCAGGTCTTTGTGCGTGGACTTCTGTTGCTGGCCGGCCAGTGGCTGCTCCAGCTCTGGGCTTCTCACTTTTAAGAGTTGATTTGCCTTCTTGATCTTCTGACTGTACTGCCTGGCCATCATAAAAACCCTGCTTCTTGTCTTATCTGTGGCATCCATCCCAGGGTCAGGGGTTTCCAAGTCTGTTTGGGACAGACCGCTGTTGGCCAAGTCGTAGGGATTTTCCATGGGAGGCGTTTCACTGGCCAGAGACAGCTGGTTGAGACTCATAAAGGAGTCTTCTTTAGAAATCAGGTCTTCCTCAAATGGGCAGTTGGCCCGGCTGGGTCTGCCGCTGTCTTTCAGCGGCGTGAGGAAAGCGTGGCCCTCCGGGAGTGACAGCGTGGACACGGAACGTGCCGCCTCTCTGCCCAGCTCGGGGGTGCTCTCGGAGTACAGCCTGCCCGGCATGTCCTCTGTGCTGACGGGAAATGCTGCCAGGAGCCGGTCTCTAGCTTTGACTTCATTTTTCTTGATGTAATTTTCCAGGTCATTCCAGATTTCGTCCACTTCTTCAGACAGTTTATCAGATATCGATTTATCGGCTAGGGACAGGTTACAGCTGAAAGAGTTATAGAGCAAACTCAAATAATCATTATCAGAGGGGCCCTGGTGGTAAGGGGCTTCGTCCTCACTGAACTGGAGGCTGTCCTGGGAAACGAAGGGCCTCAGACTGTCGCAGCATGCAAAGTCGGCGTCCAGACCCAAGAAGGTGCTCCTCTTGGGACGCTTCAGGCTGCTGCATTTGAAGTCCAGTGAGGGTGGATCTGGGAGCCCTATGGTGTCATAGATGTTTTCCTCAACCATCTGGAGTTCATGTGTGCTTTGGTTCGACGCCTGGCGACTAGTTGGCGCTCCGTCCCTCATCGTGTGCAGAGAGGTCTTCTCGTGGTCAGCCTGCCTCTTTGAGAAGGCCAGCTCCGGGGTGCTCTTGGGGCGGACAGAGTCCCTGGCTGTTTTGGGGGGCGTGGGTTCGGCTTCTTCCCGTTTGGCAACCATCAGTTTCAAGTCCTCGTAACTTATGTTGTCATAGACATGGTCTACGTCATCGATAGTCAACTCTACGGATGACCCAAAGGGAGTCATTCCTTCCTGCCCTTCTGTTTTAGGGCCACTCTGCAGTTCCCTTCGGGGGCTATACTGAGAGCCACCACCATCCCGAATTCTTATTTCGGGGGGACACGTGTTGCTCTCGCCAGCGCTACTGGCCCGCCTGACGACCCGGTGGCCAGAGCCGGTGGCTTCTGTGGATTCAATCTGTCCCATGTGCCAACTGCACGGGCGACTGGAAGTGCCGTCTTCACACAGTCTGTCAGAGTTCAGATCCGAGGAGGAGAAAGAGGGCACAAACATCTGATAGTCATCTTCACCGTCCTCATTCTCCTGAGGGGACCGACGGCTAGGAAACAAGGCTTGTCTGATCTGGTGGTCCGTCCAGATGTTTCTGATGGCTCCTCCCCCACGAAGCACGCTGATAATGGCAGAAGTGCTCGGCTGACTGTTCCTCTGTGCGGGAGATGGTCCCGTTGAGGTCCGCGGGGGAGACCCTTCCTCTCTGGAGACCTGGGGCAGATAGAGACATATTGACTGAACCGGAGTGCCATAGACACAGAGTGCCCTGGTTTTACACATTGCCTCTCCCACCGGACCATAATATTCTTAAAGCAAATGATCGGTAAATGTTGATTTTCACTGAGGGGAAAAGCACATCAGAGTTTTGCAAAAAGGGGCAGAAAGGACAGGAACTGATATTCACTTAGAAACAGGCCAGGCCATTTGTAGACATTCTCCACAGGTAATGCTCATACTCTGCGGGTTAGATGTGATTGTACCAATCGCACACTAAGGAAACCCAGGCTCTCTCTAGTTGGTAGAAAGGCTGGGATGCAAACCTAGGTCTGACTCCAAATCCCTTACCCCAATGCAGGGAATCGGCAAAACACAGACAACTCTTAGATGCTTCGAATAATTCCAACGCGCACTTGGCAAATAACGTTATATGCGTGAACGTACATGGGTATCGAGGGCCATGGTATCTGGTTTCTCTCTGAGGCTCGACTCCTAGGAACCCAATTGTGGTTTCTGGTGTACCAGAAGCCTCTCTCAGTAACCTGACGGCACAGCTCGAGGCTTTCTCTGAAATCTGCAGACCTGCCTTGCACCTGACCAGCGTTGCCTTGATTTATAAATTCTAGGCAGAGACTCTGTTGCAGGAATGTAACTTAATCCACTTTTGAGCTGGTGAGCTTTTTACTTTCTCTCAAAATATATTTGATTAAGTAATATTTAGATACCTGTTAGGAAGTAAAATATGAGCGACGTTAACAAGGTCTCATAAAAAAACACAGTGGGGTCTTTTATCACTTGGAACCTTTCTTGATGGACCTCAATTGTGCAGACAGAGAGTGGATCGGCCTCTGATGCCGTCTGCAGTAGAAGGATCAGCTTCAAAGAGTTGCAAGGGTTAAGACCAGTTCAAACTGATTAGCACCAGGGACGTATTTTCTGACTGAAGCACTATAATAACCAGTTAGAACGGTCCAATGAGCAAGAATTTTTCATCACTTGTCCATGAAACTGGGATACATATTTTCTTGGAATAACCTCTCAGCAATGTGTCTGCCTGCCTGCCTGTCTGTGTATCAGGGAGGGAAGGGAAGTGTAGGGAAGGCAAGAAAAACATTTCATCCCGAATGTTATTTTTCTATTAAAAATTAAAAGCTAAAAAAACCCCACCTCATTAGTCATTTAATCTTGTGCTCACTTTTTTTCATGTGATCAAACCGTGGACCATTTGAGGACTAGGAACCAATGAATATGCACACGTATGGACACACACACACATACACAAATATATATATATATATATATATATATATATATATATATACACACACACACACACATATATATGATTAATCTATATATATGATTATGTAGGATATATATAGGATATAATATATATATATCTATAGATATATATATCTATATATAGATATATAGATATATATATAGGATTATATTTATGGCTCTATTTTCTTTCCTCACCCTTTAATATCTCTCCCTTTTTACCTTACTCAGACTGTACTGGTATCATGTTTATAAAATATGGGCAGCCAGACGCTACATTTTACAAAATAAAAAAAGTTAGTATTAACTAGTAAAATCATGACAAAGCACTTTGAAAGTGTAACAAAAGCATTTTGTGAACAGCCAAGTAATACTTTCTTAAAATCTTCCATTCCAGAACGATTCCCAGACAATTTAGAAAATGAAGAAACCTCCATTTTTAATATCAAAAGATGCTTTTAATAAAACTAATTAGTTGAAACTTTGGACTTTGGAAACTGATATTTTATATCCAATAAATCACCAGGAGAACTGAGGAAACTCTTAGCTTTAGAAATAATCAGTATGAGGATTTAGCACAACATACAAGCATGTGGTTTATACATCTCACTAGAGGCACATATATCTTCACTAGAGCCGTGAAGAACATTTTTTTCCCCATGGTTTTTCTACATTCTCAGCATTATGGCTATTTATAATGATACGAGAATAGCTACCACTTGTGGAGCATGTGTTTTGTTCTAGATTCTGTACTAAGCACTTTTTTTTTAAGATTTTATTTTTAAGTAAATAATTCACCCAATGTGGGGCTCAAACTCATGACTCCAAAATCAAGAGTCACACACTACTGACTCCGCCAGCCACGTGCCCTTGTATTAATAAGCACTTTTAAAAACATATTTTTGTGGGGCGCCTGGGTGGCTCAGTCGGTTAAGCATCAACTTCAGCTCAGGGCACGATCTCACGGTCCGTGAGTTCGAGCCCCACGTCGGGCTCTGTGCTGACAGCTCAGAGCCTGGAGCCTGTTTCAGATTCTGTGTCTCCCTCTCTCTCTGCCCCTCCCCAGCTTGTGCTCTGTCACTGTCTCTCTCTAAAATAAACATTAAGAAAACCCAAACAAACAAGAGTATTTCCTGTTATAAACTCCTCAGTCATCAGTAAGTCTATCCTCCTTACATTCGGTATTGTTCATTAGCGTTAGGAGACAGAACTTTATCACTAAGAAAAAAGTACATTGCTTTACTTCTCCCATACAGAGACCTGGCTTGGATCACTATTGTTGAAAATTTCCAATAAGCTCTTGAGACCCCATCTTTAGGACCAACAGAGTGATCCCCCCCCCCGACTGGTACTGAGCAGGGCTCAGTGGTCCGAGGTCTGAGTTTGGCTGCCTTAAAGGCGAGGGTACCCTCTGTGCTGTTTATGAAAACAAACAAACAAATAAACAAACAAACAAAAATCAAAAGCTCGTGCTGGATTTCAGGACAATAACCCACTAATATGTTTCAAAAGCTTCCAAACAAAAATATGTACCTCCTGAAAAAAATCCGCATGCTCCAATCTTAAGAAAGTTACTTCGGGGGAAGACTGTTGATTTTTAGACATTTTACTGTACTTAATGGAGGGATAATAAACACTTATTAACAGAGTTGCTTGGGCCCTGTGCTAAGGAGTGGTGCAGTGGAACTGTGGAAGAGCTCTTTGTAACCACATCCTCACAGATATAAGACATTACACAAGAAACCACAACCAGTTTTCGAAGACTTACTAACTTAGACAATTGGTCAGCAGCCATATTAGACATGATCCAGGTCAGGATACAAGACCTGTGCTTTATAGGTAATAAATTCGGATATGCATCTTTCAAAAGAGCACACCATTTTTATTCCCCTTCCCCCAACCTTTTACCGGAAGAAAACTGAAACTTCACATAGTGAAGCCTCATTCTATTGACATATGACCCTACGTCTCCTACCAACAGCGGGACCATATTCTTAGGAGATCCCTGTGACCGAAGGCTAATGCTTTAAAAAGGGGGCAACGTTTGGGACGCAGGAGCCTGGGTCTTGTGTGCACAGACGTGCAGGGCAGTGTGGGGTGGACCCCACTAGCATTCAGGGTGCAGCTTTACAGCTTAGGTAACCTTACAGCTTTGGAGGTGAGAGGTGGGAGAGAGGGATGAAGAAATCATTGCCTTGGTTCTGATAAATGAAGCAGGGGGAGGGAGGAGGTTATAAGGACGAGTCCTTACTTAAATCTTACCTCAAGATGTGAAATAACTGTTTACACTTGGAATATAGACCGGGGATGAGATATATAAGGGTACTTTAAAGGGTCCCTCAGTAAACATTTCAGAATAAGAAATGTCATAATGCTTACCTTTTGGATGTCTTGTGCTGTTTCTGAAAAATAAAAAAGGTTTAAACATTTTTTTTTGAGGTTTAAAAATGTAACTCATACATATGTAAACACTCCTCTTTCACAGGACTTTAAAACTTGCTAATAACGGAACCCTGAAAGGCTTTTGGGCCCTCTAAACCTAATTTTCAGAAAATGCCACTCGGTTTATCCTGGTCATATATCCTGGATTACACGTAAAACAACTTTCCACACATCTGCGTGTGAAGTATCTTTCTGAATCTCTACGAGCAACAGACCGATTCACGTTAATACGTTCCACAGCCTTCCTCCCAAATACGTATTACCTGAAATACCTGCCCTAAGCCATGAAAATCACTTAAACATAAGACTATGCTGCTGGTAATTTTTAAACATTTACTGGTTTTGACTGCAAGGAACAGACAGCATTCATCACTGGGGTCACCTTGGCGCTGGGCTAAGGAGTGGTGCAGGTGGGTGTCTGGGGGGGGGCGTGTACAGCCACATCCTTACAGACGCCCTTTCAGATCACCTGATGACGTGTGTATCATCTTCAAAAACTGTTTAATTACGGAAGCATATACAGGAAACAGGGATCGAACCCTCTCCACAAATCCCACCCTGTGGAAATGACCATACTTGCAGACTGATTGATGGTCCTCTTTCCTGGTCCCATACCCACTGACACCAGCCCACCACAATACATGGTTTTGTTTTTAAAAGAAAGGTGCAAACACAGCATTGCATTTCCTGCTGAATGTATGTAGATTCTCTGGTCAGTAGATAGGGAGGTACTCTATTGACAACTGCAGAATATTCCACGTACAATTTACTTAACTCTTTCCCACTGGATGGGCATTCGAGGTGCTGTCCTATTACAAAGGCTGCAAAGCACGCGCGCGCACGCACACACACACACACACACACACACACACACACACACACACACACTGATCTAGCCATACTTGTGTGAGTACGTCTACACAGGAAGTGTCCTCATGAAATTTATAAAAGTGAAAAAAAGCGGAATTGCTGAGTCCAGGGCAAACACACATTTTAAATTTAAATGGCTTTTGCCAAATTCTGCTCCAAAAAAGTTAGAGAAATTGATACACTATTCAATTCAGAGTGCCTGTTTTTCTATATCTTTTGGTGGAGTTTACCGATTTCACCCCAGCCCCCATTTATCTCCTGTAAATGTATCATTTTTCTGGGGCGCCTGGGTGGCTCAGTCGGTTGGGTGCCCGACTTCAGCTCAGGTCATGATCTCACGGTTTGTGGGTTCGGGCTCTGTGCTGACAGCTCAGAGCCTGGAGCCTGCTTCAGATTCTGTGTCCCCTTCTCTCCCTGCCCCTCCCCCACTTGTGCTGTCTCTCAAAAATAAATAAATGTAAAAAAGATTTTTAATGTACGATTTTTCCGATTACTAGCATGGATGACTATTTACATATTTTATTGGCAGTTTGTGCTTTTTCTGTGAAATGCCCAATTATGGTCTCTGCCTTTTATTTTTATTATTAAATTTTTTATAATGTTTGTTTATTTTGAGAGAGAGAGAGAGACAGAGCGTGAGCAGGGGAGGGGCAGAGAGAGAGGGAGACACAGAATCTAAAGCAGGTTCCAGGCTCTGAGCTGTCAGCACAGAGCCCAACCGATATGGAGCTTGAACTCACGATATGGAGCTTGAACTCACGAACCGCGAGATCATGATGTGAGTTGAAGTCAAACGGTTAACTGACTGAGCCCCCCAGGCGCCCCTCTCTACCTTTTAAAAGAGTCCTTTGTCTCTTCTTTTTGATATATGGGATTTCTTTACATAATAGGTATATTAATCTTTTTATGCCGGGTTATCTATATTGCAAACATTTTAAGTCATTTGGTTTTATATTTAAAAACAGGACACTATTACTTATAGAAGTCAATCAAATGTATCAATTCTTAACTCATCTGGTGTTTATTTTTTTTTTTAATTATTATTATTTTTTTCAACGTTTATTTATTTTTTTGGGACAGAGAGAGACAGAGCATGAACGGGGAAGGGGCAGAGAGAGAGGGAGACACAGAATCGGAAACAGGCTCCAGGCTCTGAGCCATCAGCCCAGAGCCTGATGCGGGGCTCGAACTCACGGACCGCGAGATCGTGACCTGGCTGAAGTCGGACGCTTAACCGACTGCGCCACCCAGGCGCCCCTATTTTTTTAAATATGGTTTAACTTAGTGGACATCAACAGGAATGAAAAAAGGAAAGATATTTTTGGACTTACCACTGGTCTTCAAGACTTTATGTGATCTTGAGGAAGGTTCTAGGAGAAAAAAATAAGATCAGCATCATTTGCAAAACCAAATCAAGATTTTTTCTTTATAAGTGCATTGTTAGTTTATAGGCAAATTAACTGAGCTCTATTTTTTTTTAATCAGATACACCTGAAACCCATTGCTTAGAGACACTCGACAGCAAGACATTCACTCCGACAAAACCGGAGGATAAAATTTAAGCTGTGCAGGGGGCCCTGGGAGGCTCAGTTGGTGAAGCATCCAACTTCGGCCCTGGTCATGATCTCACGGCTCCTGAGTTCAAACCCTGCATGGGGCTCTGATCTGACAGCTCAGAGCCCGGAGCCTGCTTTGGATTCTGGGTCTCCCTCCCTCTCTGCCCCTCCCCTGCTCACGCTCTCATTCTCTCTCAAGAAAATAAAGATTAAAAAAAAGTTTTTTTTAATTTAAGCTGTGCAATCAGGGGTTGCACAACAGAAAACCACCCTCCCAACAACCAGTAGAGCAAATTCTTTAGCTTTAACTATCACCTACAAGCGGACAGTGTTCAATTTTATATCCTTAGAGCAGACCCTCGTCCCAGGCCTCAGACCTCAAATGCTAACTGCTGATCTGACATTTCCCCAATGTGCCCATAGACCAAGCAAAACCAACATGCCTCAAACTCACCTGTCTCCCCCCATAACTGTTCCTTTATCCAATTTCTTATTTGGTTGTCACTGACATTACCCACCCAAGTTAGGTGCCGGGACATCATTCAACATTTCTCCCCTATTCATCCATCACAGTCCTGTGGGATCCCAATAATGCCACCCCGCTCCCCCCACTCCCCCTACCCCCCAGTGTCTTAATCCAGGCTCTTGTCCTCTCTCCTCCAGACTAGACAGAATGCCTACTTCAGTTTCTACATCAAACCAGAATTCCTTTTTTTATTAATTAAAAACATTTTTTAAATGTTTATTTATTTTGAGAGGGAGAGAGAGAGAGAGAGAAAGTGCGAGCGAGGAAGGGGCAGAGAGAGACGAAGAGAGAGAATCCCAAGCAGGCTCCGTGCTGTTAGTGCAGAGCCCAGCGCAGGGCTTGATCCTGTGAACTGTGAGATCCTGACCTGAGCCGGAATCAAGAGTCAATGCTTAACTGACTGAACCACCCAGCCGCCCCCAGAATTCTGTATTTAAAAGGTAAACATCCCATTGTTTAAAATCCTTCCATAGCTTGCAGGGTCAAGTTCACACCTTCTGTGATTAGGCCCCCTCTGCAGCTCCAGCCACTTCTCCTTCCGGTTTACCCTGCATGCCTGTACCTCTACCCACGGCTTCATCCGGCCAGGCTGAAGAACCGGCAATAGAGGTCCGATCTAAGGTACGCTGGCTCCAGCCCCAGGGCCTTTGCACATGCTATTCCCCCGTCTCATCTGTCTCCTCAGCCCCCAGACTCTATCCCAAGTCCCCTGCTCTGGGAAGCTTTCTCGCCTTCCTAGAGAGTTAATCTCTCTCTTTCCTTGGCCTCTCCCTCTACTCAACCTCCAGCACAGCTCCATTATACGGACCAGTACTTATTCACCCTTGTTGACTCCCACTGGACTACAACCTCCTCGCAAGCAGGAATCACGTGTATTATTTATTCTTGCATTCCCAGTCCTTAGCCCAGCACGGGGGGTTAGCTGGGTACTCAATAAATGCTGATTCAAATGAAAAAAAAAAATATCTGAGGCCTAAGAGAATGCTACCTGGAGTCTGGCTCAGCAAACATGTGTTAAAGCGTTAGGTCTGAATGATCGTTTGTATGTGTCGTTGATAGGATACAATTTTTCCCCAGTGTAGTAAATAAGGCTTTAAGTACCTACAAGCTAGTGGTAAGAAGCTATGCAAAGAGGAATTAGTGGACTGATAGTTTTACATTCCCTGGGAAATAGAGAGATACACAGAAAAGTTTTAGAACGAAAGCCTGACAGTCCCATCTTAGGGCAGCTTCCAATGTATTCAAACTGGCCGTGAGCTCCGACACCAGAAGGGAAATGTGTTTTTTGCCAGACTGAAAGGCTCTTTCATTACTAGTCCCCCCAGATTATTAGCTTTTGATCACGACATCCTATTTACCAGATTTTCTTCTCGGCCGATATGGAGCAGAACCGTCTCTAGAACCACAAAATGCTTTAGTCTCTCCCTCGGGACTGTAACAGAAACCGGGATAGTCTGAAAAGAGAACCACATGCACCAATAAGAATGAGGTGTTCAGCGACTTCTCAGAAAATTGGTACGGCTTGTTCTGGATATCTGTGGGTTTATTCTTTTCCATCAGACATGGGATAGTCTCTCCTTCCATTAACTGGTGTTGACTATGTATCACGGGGACTTCCAGGAGTCTGTCCACAGGGACGTGTGCCTTTCTGGCACACGTGTGCGCTCTCTCTCCCTCCCCCACCCCTCACACACACACACACACACACACACACACACACACATGCACGTGCACACGTACATGCTCTCTCTGCAGTCTCCTTTTTTGCTCATTAGCAGAGAGAGCCATAGCCATTGGCTTTACCCTTGGCAGAAAGTTACTTAAAACGTGCAAGGTGTGGTTAACCTCCTACTGCCACTCAGGGTCCCGGGCAACGCGCTGCCCCCACAGAGGGCAGACGGTTCTGTTAAACATCACCACAGCCGAACTTGCTCACGAGGCCCCAGACAGACAGTGGCGATGAGCCACAGAAGAGACTCTGTCAAGGCAAAGCCATCCGGAGAATCCCACTGAAGCACAGTTTCACGAGGTGTCTGTGCCTGGCGTGGAGGATGTCGGGCTATTCCTGCCCTCCGGAAGCTGGCCTCTGCTGCAGTGACTCTTAACATCTTTCTAGACACTGCGAACATTTGATGAATGCTTTGGTTCATCACTGCTGAACAACGTCCTGCGAACATTTGATGAATGCTTTGGGTCTCTTACCAGAAAAGGGATTTTCATTTAATGTCAGAGTTTATGTCTTTCTGCCCGTCTAAGGAGCACACAGGCTTCAGATTAAGAATATGGGGTCTATCGCTTCTCGGCCTTTTGGCCGAGGTCAAGTGACGGATATGGGGTCTAGGGGCACCTGGGTGGTTCAGTCGGTTAAGCGTCCCACTCTGGATTTTGGCTCAGGTCACGATCTCATGGCTCGTGAGATCGAGACCCAGGCTGGGCTCTGCACTGACCGTGTAGAACCTGCTTGGGATTCTCTCTCTCCCTTCCCCTCTCTCCCTCCCACACTCTGTCTCAAAAATAAATCAGCATTAAAAACAAGGAAAATCGGGTCTAATCCTAAAGCACTCCAGCGTATTCAGGGATTATCTACACCCTGAAGCCTAAGGGTAAACAATTTTAGGACACGGCTATCGTGGAGTTAAGGCTCTTCAGAGGGTGTCCACAGTTCGAGAGGGTTCTAAGAATTGTAAAGACCACACACTTTTGTCCAATGTCAGTAGCAAAGGTACACAAATGAGGTCACTTGGCCCAACGGACTGGCCTACTCTATTCCTACCCAGACAAGTCCAAAGTCAGGGTGGGGCAAATGAGGTGATTTTCCTGGGCTGGGCTGCTCTAGCCTAGTCCTGGGCCTGGAAGAAAGCCACGTAGCACCGATTAGTGGCTTGAAATAATTCTGTGTGTGCACTCAAAGAATCTTAATGGTGTCCATGAACCAGCACCCAGAGGCTGAGAATGAGGAAATAGTTCTATTGAATGAAGTTTGTCATAGAGATAGGGGCTTCTTCAGACCTCTTTCTCCACCTTTCCTCCTAATTCTTTCTGTTTTAGACAGATAAACTTATTTTTTTGTTTGTTTTTTATTTATTTTGAGAGGGAGAGAGAGAGCCCAAGCCGGGGAGGGGCAGAAAGCGAGGCAGAGAGACAGAATCTCAAGCAGGTTCCTCACGGACAGTGTAGAGCCCGATGTGGGGCTTGAAGTCACCAACCATGAGATCATGACCTGAGCCAAAATCAAGAGTCAGATGCTTAACCGACTGAGCCACCCACGCACCTCCCCTTTCGTCCTAACGTTTACATGCCCCTCCATGACTCTGCCTTCTCTTTAGAGCGTTTTTATTAAAAAAATAATAACCCTTTTTTTCCCCCCAATGTTTATTTGAGAGAGAGTGCAAGCAGGGGAGGGGTGGGGGGGGACAGAGAATCCCAAGCAGGCTCTGTGGTGATAGCAGTGAGCCCGATGTGGGGCTCGAACTCCCAAACCGTGAGACTTACGACCTGAGCTGAAGTCACACGTTCAACTGACTGAGCCACTCAGGCGCCCCACCAAAAAGTCTTCAAGAGCTTTCCAATGAATAAAATGGGCGGGAGTGGGGGCATTAGAGAAGACAGGGCAGCAGGCCCCAGCCTAGCCTTCTAGTTGGGGTCACGTCCCATCATCTCTCAGGAGCTGCCGGATATGAAATGGGGGACCTCAGCCATGTGGGGAGGAAGCTTATCTTTCTCCCTCACTAACGCCTCTTGCTTTCTCAGCAGAGTTAACCGCCAGCAGCATGGAAGGGACGTGAATCAATATTTGTACCTGGGGAAAGATGCCTCAAAAGTAAGTTATTTCAGATGTGTTAAGTACAAGTTTTTGTTTGACCCGGTTGTCAGTCTCTGAAATCACTGATTCTCTTCTTAGTCTATTTAATCTGGGAGAGAACAAGAATCGATAAACGGTGTTGAGCCAGGTTTTATGTTCTAGGAAAGACCTCACTTGTATTCATTTTCTGCCTGTTTTTATAAGCCTGGAAATACAATCCCATATGTGGAGCAGTGGTAATTCTCAAATATGAGCTGCATCGGGGAAACCATTCACTGTCTCGTTGGCATGATCCTTGCAGGTAATCAACAGGTTATCCTTCAGTGGGGCGCGGCCAGAAATGTATGTAAAACCTTGAGTTTTGGTGGAGGCGGAGGGGAGGGTAAGAGTTGACCTTGGAAGCGTATGTTACATTTGCAGCTGACACAGAGATCTGGACATGGGGCCGGCCATCAGGCGACTCATAGATAAAGCAGCGAAATCCATATACAAACGAGTCAATGCGTAAGGAAAAGATGATACCCTCTGCCAGCTCCGCTTGTGAAAACAGTGAAGAAAGAACTGTGCCTTTCTTACAATTGACATTTTTATACACTTTAAGATAGAAAAGATGATAGATACAAGTAGACAAGAAGGTTTCAAATTGTATTAAGAAAACAAAACTTACGAATGGCATCCATTTCAAGTATTGCTTGCTTGGCCTGTAAGAAAGAAAGTGCATCTATAACTACAATTACTCTTTGTTTTTTCTTTAAACTACCTATCGCTATCATGAGACAGGTCTTATCCCACTGGAATAAGGGATTTTTGAAAAAGCTTTAAAAAACTCCTTATTTCTTTTAGGCATTAACACACAGTTCAAGGGCTTCAAACAGATGAGTGCCTCCTGTGGATCGCACATGCTGCACGATCAGCAGAGCTAAGCTTACAGCCTCCATCTGGAAGGAAGGAAGGAAGGAAGGAAGGAAGGAAGGAAGGAAGGAAGGAAGACAGAGAGACAGAGGAGAGAGAGAGGATAGAAGGAAGGAAGGATAGAAGGGAAGACAGAGGAATGAAGGAAGGAAGGAAGGAGAGAAGAAGAGGGGGAGAAGAAGAGGGGGGGAGAGAGAGAAAAGGAGAGGTGGGAAGGAGGAAGTGGGGGGAGCCTTTCACTAAGGTTTCTAAAACCCGGCATCTGGCGGTCAGCCCATTATAAAATGTAGATCCCGGCTATTCAACCCTGATCTACTGAACCAAAGGCTCAAGGGATAGGGGTCTAGGATCCATACCTCCAGCCTTCTCCAAATCACTGGGGCCTTATAACTGTTCTGAATTGTTGCAAAAAAGATTGCTGGGAGTTTCCAGTGTTCCTCTGTCCAAATGCTCTGTGATTATCCTTAGCTACCTCTCTTGGCTCTCTCTAGCATGCCTGTAACTCGTCTCTCCCGTGCCCTAGAGTCTCCCAGGCAGGGGGAAGGGCCCTGAGGACACGGTTTGTGACACGGCTCTCTCGTGCTTTCCTAGCTGGAGGTGTTTCCTTAGCCACAAATGGCAAGACCGGACCTACCTTTCAGAGTTGCTACTAGGCTCAACTGATAGGCACTAAACGCAGCGAAGTCACCACCCACCAGCCAAGGGATTGGGCCAGATAAACCTTGACCGGGGCTTCCTTCACACATCTTTCTCCCCACCTCAACGCTCACAGCTTTACTGCTTTGAGGCTTTTGGCCATTGTCCCTGTTGCCAATGTGGTTAATGTTTAGGGAGATATAAAGAGATGGTTAATGGGGCGCCTGGGTGGCTCAGTCAGTTAAGCGTCTGACTTCAGCTCAGGTCACGATCTCGCGGTCCGTGAGTTCGAGCCCCGCGTCGGGCTCTGGGCTGATGGCCCAGAGCCTGGAGCCTGCTTCCGATTCTGTGTCTCCCTCTCTCTCTGCCCCTCCCCCGTTCATGCTCTGTCTCTGTCTCAAAAATAAATAAACGTTAAAAATAAAATTAAAAAAAAAAAAAAAAAAAAGAGATGGTTAATGACCCTGACATGAGTCATTTTGCCTGAGGATTCAAAGAGGGAAAAAAAATTAGTTTAGGTAGAACTCCTCTCACGTCATTTTCATTTTTCAGGGGTCGTGTAACGTAACTGACAGACATCAGACTAAAAATCACCTTAAAAATAATTTTTCTTGTATTTTGCCAGAATCCGTGATAGCACAGTGAAAACATTTGGGCGAACTGGTAATGTTTAGGGCTCAGTCAGTTAAGCGTCTGACTCTTGATTTTGGCTCAGGTCATGATCTCATGGTTTCTGAGTTCAAGCCCCACACTGGGCTCTGTGCTGACAGTGCGGAGGCCTGCCTGGGATTCCGTCTCTCTCTGCCCCTCCCCTGCTCACACTTATGTGTTTTTTCTCTCTCTCTCTCAAAATAAATACAACAAACTTAAAAAAATAAAAATAAATGGTAATATCTAGTTTAAAAAAAAGAGGGAGGTGAAGGGGTGCCCGAGTGGCTTAGTTGTTTAAGCGTCTGACTCTTTTTTTCAGTTCAGGTCGTGATCTTACAGTTCGTGGGATCGAGCCCCACATCAGGCTCTGCGCTGATGGTGTGGAGCCTGCCTGAGATTCTCTCCCTCCCTCTCTCTCTGGCCCTCCCTGCTCATGCTCCCTCTCTCTCCCCCAAAAATAAAGTTAAAAAAATAAACAAATAAAGGAGGAGGAAGGTTTAAAAAAAAAAGGCTTGTTGAAGCCACCCTAAGTCTGAGATAACAAATGCATACATTTTGTAACACTGATATTTTTATCATATATTCGGAGTTTGCAATGACTAGTTGGAATTACTTTCAAACGCCAATGTGAGCTCAGTTTCTGTGAAGCGCCCTTAAAGGACCAGGTGATTATATAAACTGCAAAAGCCTCTACCTTTCTATCTTTATTCTCAACCAGGACGAGAGTGAGTTTATACACTACGTATAGGAATAAACACAACGGCTATTTCCAAGAAGCTTCCTGGTATCTATAAACTCGACTTGACGAACTCGGTATTTATTTTTCCTGTCTTGACATTTCATTTCAGAAAAGTACAATTCCCACATCTTCCTCTAGGAGTCAGCCAGGGACCATCGCCGAATTAAAGGAACTCCAGGAAGCTGGGAGGAGCCACAAACACGAATTTCCATCAGCTTGTGGTAACACTGTTAGACGGCTGTGATGCATTTTTTGATGTTCACAAAAATTCCTCATTATGCATTTCTTTTACCTAATAGGAATACACAGATTTTGAAAGCTTTAGAGAAAAAAAAAATAATAAGAAAAAGCCTTGAAGAAAGAAGTGGAGAGTTTAGCTTAATAATAATCCTGCTTCGGGGCGCCTGGGTGGCGCAGTCGGTTAAGCGTCCGACTTCAGCCAGGTCACGATCTCGCGGTCCGTGAGTTTGAGCCCCGCGTCGGGCTCTGGGCTGATGGCTCAGAGCCTGGAGCCTGTTTCCGATTCTGTGTCTCCCTCTCTCTCTGCCCCTCCCCTGTTCATGCTCTGTCTCTCTGTCCCAAAAATAAATAAACGTTGAAAAAAAAAATAAAAAAAAAAAATAATAATAATCCTGCTTCAATAAAGTAGAAAATTATTATCACATTATAGGGGATGAAGTCTATTAAATAAGTGAATTTTCGTTGCCATTGGGGGCAATATGGTTAAGCCTTGCCCTCCGCAGCCAGCCAGACCTGTGTCTGACTCAGGCTCACTCATGCACTCACCACATAAACTTGGGCAGTTCACTTAATGTCCCTGGACTTCTGCTTTTATTTCTCCATAGTGGGGTGAGTAAGATCTTTCTCGTAAGGTGGTTTGCTGAGGCCGAACTGAAGACACAAAGCAGTTAGCCCACTGTACGTGTGTTCTAGAAGTTGTGGCGGAACAAGTAACGCTTCGATTCTAAAAGGGCCAGGGTCAGGGTCAGGAACTTGGGTACAGAGATGCACCTGCCTTGTGACTGTTATTCGTCATTTTAACGCACAAAGGGAAACCCCCCTGGAACCCACACATCTTGTGTAGGAGAAAGAGGACAGGTATGTCAGCTAGTCTGGCTTTGTAACGGCCTTTCAGAATCCTCCGGCAGTTCTGATTTTCCCAGTTCACCGGTGAACCAGAGGTGGGGCATGTCAAAGACACTGGGTCATTGCTCAGAAGGGCATTCCGAGGCACAGGGCCAGCAACCCCCTAACCAACCACGAAGAAAACGCCATCACCTCTCTGCATGAGCTGTACCTTCCAGCTCTCGACACTCCGGTGAAATGAGACTCGTGCTTAACTCAAAGCACACACCTTTGCACACTCACTTCCTGGGCACAAGATCATTGCTGACAGCCCCTGAGAATGAGCTTCGAGTGCTTCTCAAAATACCCAGAGTGAAATGGACTCTCTTTTCTCCGCAGTGTTCATGTCTCTTATTTCCCCCTAGTTCTACCCCCATGGCCGTCATCCCACTGTCTGTTCCACGTCACTCCCGCCCCGCCCAGCAAGGACCATGTCACCATCCGTTGTCACCGCTGACAATGTATTCTCCACCCTTACCTCACGCCACTTTTTCTCTGACAACCTTTTCCTCCACTCCAGAACAGCGACACACAATCAGAAGCGGCCCCAGGACCTTAGCAGCACGGAGAACTGCTTTGCTTCTAAGGCAGGGGCTCTACAAGTCTCTACTTCGGCTACAGACCTCCGTATTTCCACCTGCCCACCTTTGGCTGCTGTTGTGCCGGTTCCTGGACTCTGTAGCCAGCAGTCCTTCAAGCCATGCCCAGTCTCCTGGGTGCCTTCCCTCTCCGCTCAGCCCGGAAATCACGCTCGGTCACCGCACCCATGTGCTGATTAGCACCCACCTTCCCCTGTACTGGTTCTGCTGACCTTCACCTTGGGGAACCCACCTGCGCTATGGTTCCTCAATACTTGTTTCCAAGTTGCTGAGCGGATTTTTAAATCACCTCACCGCACTGATCCACGGTGACCCCCTTCATTGGGTCTTGGATGCACCCATCCCTGTAGGTATCCCTGCACACGGGACCACTTTCTTTAGCAAGTGTTCTGAGCCTTTCCACTTTCCCTCAGGGGCCCCAACCCCCCTGGGCGCCCCCGGCCCCCCAGCCAACAGATGACATCATCGCCAACCCCAGGAAAACCCAACTCTCCTATCTTCACTCAAGTCTGTCTCAAAGGTTCTCTCATTTGTCTTCTTTCTTCCCAAGACCAGCCTCGCACCCAGAGCTCCTGATCCCACCCTCCCCAAAATGGCTCCCAAAGAGCATTCCTCCGCCCTCTTTCTGCTCTCTTTCCCTTTCTCCTTCCCTCCGCCGACAGTCACGTCCACGGCGTGCTTCACCTGCACCAAGTGTCTCACTCCTCAAACCACCGCCTGGTAAGTGTTCTGAACTGCGTTCAAGAAGCCTGTACCCAGTCTGCCTCTTCTCATTTCTGCTTTTTCCCGCCACGCACTGCAGTCTCTCCTTTATCTCTCGGTTGCCAACCCGTCTATCCACTCTTCTGTTGGAGTCTGCCTCGCCCTCTGCAGCCTTGCAGACGGTTGCCCCCTCACGCTCTCTGAGGTCCTTTTCTTCCTCTGTCAGCACAGCTTTCTCCTTGGGTTTTCTTAGGGCCTCCCACCTAACCCCTCTTGGGGGTGCTCTAGGTCCCCATGGATGTTGGGATTCCCAGGGCTTCTTTCCTTCACGGGCTTTCATGGGCCATCCTCTCAAAGCTCGGGGCCTCAATCGCTGTCTGTGTCAAGAGAGCCTCCAGGCCCGCAGCTTCCAAGACCTGAATTTCCACCTGGGGCCGACCCGCCTCCTCGAACGCACTTGTGAGAGCTTCTCCTCACTCCCATCCAACTAGTTCCTCTCCTTATCTCAGAACTCCACACTGTCCTCTGGGCTCAACCCCTGACTCATGCTTGACTCCCATCTCTCTCTTTCCTCATGCGCTTAGTGGGTGACAGACCATTGCTCAACCTCCCTGAGAGCTTTTGCACCTGCTCCCCCCCTGCCGCCCCCCGTTGCCGTGGCTCCCCCGAAGGGCCCCTCGTCTCTTTGCTAGACTACTGTGGCGGCTTGCTCATTCTTCTTCCGCCTCCGGTGTCACTTCGTCAACTCATCTGTCACACGGTTTCTAAAGTCACCCTTTCAGAACACAGGGGCCACCCTGCCAGCCCTTCCTCCGAAGCCTCCGGTGGTTTCCCACCGCCGATGCACTCGGACTTCTTAGGCCTTCAAGACCTTCAGAGCCCAGCGGACTGCCTTCCGCTTGTCCGGCCTCACCTCCTCCGCCATCTCCTGAGGATTCAGCCCTTCCGCCAAGGCACGGTCTGTGAGCTGTGAACATGATGCCGCCATTCACAAGGAAGGCATTTCCTTCCTTTCCTTACTCAACTGTAATTGAACACATTATCCTTCCACAACACTTGGTTTATACCTCTGTTAATTCTTCCTGTTTAGCAAACAGTTCGTTGTGTGTATAGCTACCTCCCTCATCTACAAACTCCCTCACAGCTGAGTCTGTATTTTCTTTCCCTTAGCATTCCCACAGAACCTCAGCTAGCTCTATTCACAACAGCTGCTTAGTGTAGCTTTGAATACTTCTCATAACTGTACTCTACTATCTCTCTAGAAATTTTCTGGTAGTCTTTTCCTTATTTTTTCCTTCCTCAAGCCCCAAAACAAAATATAACAACCACAATAAAAAAAAAAAAAAAAAAAAAAAAAAAACACTTCCACAATCTCCCTATATGTGAATCTTTTTTTAAATGTTTATTTATCTTATTTTTGAGAGAGAGAGAGAGAGAGTCAGAGCATGAGCGAGGGAGGGGCAGAGAGAGAGGGAGAGACAGAATCCAAACCAGGCTCCAGACTCTGAGCTGCCAGCACAGAGCCCAACGTGGGGCTTGAACCCACAAACCATGAGACCGTGACCTCAGCCAAAGTCAGATGCTTAACCGACTGAGCCACCCCGGTGGCCCTGTGAATCTTTTTAACATACATGGCTAATTTAGTTGATCCCATAAATATCCTATCTCCCCATTTTCTTTATTTTAGAGTTGAACATTTATTGCCCTCAGGCTGCCTTCTAGGACTTGGATGACCTTACATTTTATTGTTTGTGGACCTCGGCACCTTACCTTAGCTGGGATTTTTGCCGCATGGTTCTCCAGGATCAGTCTCTTCAGGTGCAGAACCCACAGGCGCTTGTCTTGCTGGGATTTGGCCTAGCGGAAGGAAATGCGGACGGTCAGACGACTCACGTCTCCACCACGAACGAGATTCAGACACTCCCATAACCCTCTGACGAGACGGGAAACACACCGTGTGGCCAGAAGCCTCTGGAAAGGCCGGCTGGCCCACGGCGCCCATCGTTTACAAGAGCGAGCCCTGCAGGGAGGGGAGGCCTCTGCTGTTACCTGAACCGTGTGCTGCAGCTTGGGGTTCTTATAGTGGAAGACGCTGAAGCTGAGAGGCTCCTTTGGTATCACTTCCACGAGCATGAGGTTGCCACACTGAGCAGGAGAGCAGAGAGAGGGTGAGGTGCACTTGGAGGAGAATGGGACGAGCGGCCGAAGCCCTTGCCCATGGCCAACATTCAGACCTACCAGGATATGCGCTTTGTACGTAAACGTGTCGTCTCTCTTCTTTGTGATCAGAAGCAGCTTGTCAAAGAGGAAGAGCGTCCGCTCATTCTTGGCCCGCTGGATGCGAAAGGTCCCTTCGAGCACCAGTTCCCCATAGCTGGTCAGGTCTGGCCCCTTCCAGTTAGTGAGCAGACTCTGTATCTCCTGAAAAAGTGACCATTCTGTGTGATTAAACAAGAGATGGGAAGCCATGGAAGAGAGGGAAAGGTCTCCCATTTGCTGAATCTCAAGAGTGGTGTCTGAATATTCTATGACAGGGCCTAATGGGTCTATTTGGCATCCAATGGTGTCTAATGATCCGTGACCCAAATCCACATTTAAAAAAAGATTTTTTTTCAATGTTTATTTTTGAGAGACAGAAATAGAACATGAGTGAGGGAGGGCCAGAGAGAGAGGGAGACACAGAATCGGAAGCAGGCTCCAGGCTCCGAGCTGTCAGCACAGAGCCCGACGCAGGGGTTGAACCCACGAATCAGGAGATGGCGACCTGAGCGAAAGTCGGAAGCTTAACCGACTGAGCCACTCAGGTGCCCTGACCTATATCCACATTTATGGGGGTTGTCACATAAGGGCTAACAGAAATGAATCGAGTTGTTAGTTGATGAGTTGCCAATTACTTATTTCCGCTCCTTGATAATCCCTCTCCTGTGGCTGATGACAGCAGTTATGCCTCTCAAAAGCTAGGTAAAGAGGCGACTGGCATGTGACCTTCTCAGAGAGCCATCCTTTCCTTGACTTTCTCACCCATATTCTCTGCAGAAAACCTTCAGAGCTATTGCTGTGGAAACCTTCTTCCAGAAACTGAAATCCATACTACATATAAGTAACTCGAAACTAAAGCCTGTGACAAATCACGTAAGAGACATCTTAGAAATTTCCTGATGTTAATCCCATTTATTTGGGGAAAGGAAATTAATTTCATTACCATTATGTTTTTAATGGTGCTCGCTAAATATAAATTGAGAGCATGATCCTGAGGTATCTTTGGGATTTTATTGTGCACCCATACCAATGTTCTTTAAGAAAGCTGATTTTTTATAGTTTTGAAAAATGAACATATTCACAAAGAGCATTTAATTAAGCGGCCCCCATACAGGACAACCCAAATGTCCATGGGTTGAAAGTGGAAATGGATGGTAATGGAGATAAAAGTCTGAGCCTGAGCCTGATTTAGCAATGTCTGCAGAATGCCAAACAGATTTACAAGGTCTAAAAAAACAGTCATTTAGCCATTTCTGAATATGCAATAGACATTAAGTCCACAAAACATCTGGATGATGAACTATTAAACCTTTTCTTACTGTTACAAAAAAAAAGACATGACCTGAAAGATGAGAATGTTGCCTTCCCTTGATTTTTGATAGTCTATTGCATCACATCATACTCTGGCTGCCTATAGATGCATCTTATGGTTTTGCTTAAATTTATATTAATGTATCTTTTTTCCTGAGTTTCCACAGATACTCTACACAGCATGGAGTCACTTTGGGCTTTTATGTCTCACTCCAGGGACACGAAGAAGCCTGCCACCAGCCTCTAGACCAACATAAACATTTTTTTTAAGTTTATTTATTTTTTTGAGAGAGAGAGAGAGCAGGGGAGAGACAGAGACAGAGGGAGAGAGAGAGAATCCCAAGCAGACTCTACACTCTCAGTGCAAAGCCTGATGGGAGCTTGAACTCACAAACCATGAGATCATGACCTGAGCTGAAATCAAGAGTTGGATGCTTAACTGACTGAGCCTCCCAGGTGCCCCTAACCTTTTTTTTTCTTTCATGTTTATTTATTTTGAGAGAGAGCAAGAGGGATGGAGAGAGAGAAAGAGAGAGAGAGAGAGAGAGAGAGAGAGAGAGAGAGAGAGAGAAAGAACGAATTGGGGAGGGGCAGAAAGAGGCAGAGAGAAAGAATCCCAAGCAGGCTCTGCACTCTCAGCGCAGAGCCCAATGAGAGCTCGAACTCACAAACTGCGAGATCATGACCTGAACTGAAATCAACAGTTGGGCACTTAACCAACTGAGCCACCCAGGCACCACAACCTTTTATTTTTAAAAAGTGCATTTTTTTATGTGCCTGGGACACGATCCCTGGCTTAGCATTTATCAAAAGTTTGGACCCACAGATTTAGGGTCCAAAATGTTGGTGCTGGAAGGGGTCTTCGCAAACCCCTGGTCTGTCTTATTTTAGAAAGGAGGAAACTAACACACAGTAGACAGCCTCCTCCCGAGTAGAACACTGTAAAGGACCTGCTTCCAGACTTAGCTCTCCTTTGTCTGGGTCCCGGCCCCATCACCACCCATGGACCACCTCACAATTCTTCATTAACTAGTGAGAGTGGAAAAGAGGCTGAAAAACCCTTTCAACAGCTTGGAAGAAAGCTGCTTCCAGCAAGAATTACTTCTTTGTCATTAACTTAAGGTAAGGAAGGGCTTGGGAGACTCCAATTTTTTATTTAAAAAAAAAATTTTTTTTAATGTTTTTATTTATTTTTCAGACAGAGAGAGACAGAGCATGAACAGGGGAAGGGCAGAGAGAGAGGGAGACACAGAATCCGAAGCAGGCTCCAGGCTCTGAGCTGTCAGCACAGAGCCCGACGTGGGGCTCAAACTCACGAACCGTGAGATCATGACCTGAGCCGAAGTCGGACGCTTAACCGACTGAGCCACCCAGGTGCCTCAAGGGAGACTCCAATTTTTAACTTGGGTTACTGAAGGGGTTCCAAGCAAACTATTAGTTTAAAAGTTATAAAGTAACTTCTCGTAAACACCGCGGTAAACAGCGATCAGTATTAGCCATGTCCCGATCTTTCTTCAGATGTGATGAAGGCCACGGGTGACATCCAACGCTTGAGCAGCCTTAATACCTGATGTGGAAAGTGATAAGAAGTCAGTGTGCCAGCGGGGCTGCCGTTTCGAGGGTTTACCTGTAGCCGGACCGCGTGTTCGTGTTTCCTCTTCATGTCATTGATGTGCCAGGCCACTCGCTGCATCGTGTCAATAGCATCAAGCACCACATCATAGCCTTCTGTGTCCTTGTCAAGGTGATTTTCTATTTCCTTGGGGGGGAAAAAAAGGAGCTGGTCATTTTCATTATTTTTCTCCTATCGCCAATGAAACAAAGTACCTCTATGACACATTCCTCATGTATTATTTTTGCCTATTTATTTACACATGAGCAGCGTGCCTTAAAAGTTTGAGATAACTTACCAGAAATACCTACAACAAAGTGGTAAGATAGGGACGAAGACGGGGCTAGGAAAACCAGCAATAGAGTAGAATTTCATGACGAGGGGGATAAAACAAAATATGATATAGTCCATTAAGTCTCTTAGAGATGTTACAGTAGATACAAGAGTTGATATTATAGCTGGAGACTGCCGAGTTTCCTGGTAGCCAATGTAATATAAGAAAAAAGAAAACAGGGGTGCCTGGGTGGCTCGGTCCATTCAGCGTCTAACTCTTGATTTTGGCTCTGGTCATGATCTCATGGTTCATGAGGTCTGGCCCCATGCCGGGCTCTGTGCTGGTGGTAAGGAGCCTGCTTGGGATTCTCTCTCCCTCTCTCTCTCTGCCCCTCCCCTGCTTGTGTGTGAGCACACACACACACACACACACACACACACTCTCTCTCTCAAAATAAATAAACATTAAAAAATATTTAAAAAAGAAAACATACTTTTTTTTTTTTTTCTCCCAGGGGAAATAAAATGTCTCAAGCAGGATTTCATATGTAACAGAGTCAAACACAGAGCGGCCATTATCTTTAAAAGTACCTCTACAGCAAGGGCCTTTTCATGTAGTCAAGGCTTTAAAGCCCAAATGAAGTTCATAAGCACTTAGCACTGAGTTTTGCAATCCCAGGGGCACAAAAGGGCCATGAGCTCTGCTCCAATTCTTTCCAGCACATAAGACATACGTCCTTAGCCTTCTCAAGAGTCTAAGGACAGGGACTATTGTATCATTTATTTAATCTTTTATCTACTCAATAGTAACTGCGGAAGAGCTGGGTAGTCAATACATGCTTATTAAGTTGAAGCTCTATCTTTTTACAATGACAACAGTAACCTATATACATACATAAAACAGTAGGAAGATATTATAATTAATTAGATCATTTCTAGGGCATCTATGATATATGCATGAACATTAAGTCCAAGGTTGGAGATTGAATCTCATGGTATAACTTATGAAAGTTAGTTCCATTATTTTATAGTCCTACCTCATAAATCTCTGTTTACTGTTACTAAATACTCAAGTTTTCCACCTAGCTAAAAACTGGGAAAGAATTCACATTTTCTTTCTATACTTCAACTCAGCTGTTGGAAAGGTCCTATGAAACCATACCACTAAAGTAACAACTCCCAGGTAAGCTTCAGATCAACAGCAAATTAACAAAAAATAATAATTTTGGGGGCACCTGGGTGGCTCAGGTGGTTAAGCGTCTGACTCTTGATTTTGGCTCAGGTCATGAGCTCACAGTTCGTGGGCTCAAACCCCAAGTCTGGTTCTGCTCTCTGGGTGGAGCCTGCTTGGGATTCTCTCTCTCTCTCTCTCTCTCTCAAAATAAGTAAATAAACTTGAAAATGATAACTACTTCTTCTGGCCTGAGAGGCAATCCTGTTCAAGGACAAACAGACTCAGGAGTACAGAGTGTATCCTTGTGCGGATCTTCACGGATGGCTACACAACTTTGAAGTGACGTAAATGACACAGAAGGAATGCTCTAAATCAACCATAAAAGCGAAAATACTTCAGAGGCAACCGGAAGTTAGTTTTCGATTAATCTAACCACCCTTCTTCTGTACCAACCGCTACAGACTGAATGCCTGTGTCCCCACAAAAGCCACATGTTGAAGCCCTAACCCCCATTGGGCCCATATTAGGAAGCGGGGCCTTTGGGTGGTGATTAGGTTATGAGAGTGGAGCCCTCATGGATGGGATTAGTGTTCTTAGAGTAAAAGGCGAAAGATTTATACGATCTGAAGAGAAACCAGAGTATGGGATTAGTGTTCTTATAAAAGGGATCCCAGGGAGCTCTCTTGCCTCTCTCCACCATGTAAAGAAACAAGGAGCTCGCAGTCTGAACCCAGGACGGGGATATCACCAGAACCTGACCATGTTGGCACCTTGATCCTGGCCTTCTAGCTTCCAGAACTATGAGAAATAAGTTGTTAAGCCCCCCAGGCTATGGTACGTTGTTACAGCAGCCTGAACTAAGATACCAGCTCCTTATTTAGAGGGTAAGGGCCATTTTTCCTATTAATTACCTCTTTGTAAGGACCTTGTTACGTCCGACATGCTTAAGTAACTGCTATCTTAGATGCTGCTTGGCTAGAGGTTATATTTAGAGATTACTGAGATGCACTAGTCTTAAATGCTATATTAGCACAATCCAGCGGAGATCTATCCTGGGAGAGTTATTATTTATTTGAGAGTTATTTGGACACTGATTTAGCAAATTAATCCTCCTAATCTAAGAGGTCACTAGTATTAGTGTGACAATTAAAGTAATATCCCTGATGTGGCTTCATAGGACACAAGATTCTCCAAACGTGAGCCACCCAGGCAGACAGACAAAGCTGAGAAGTTTCTAGCAAAGTTGGACCATAAGCTTCCTTAAAATTGTAGATGTGTGTGAACTGAGCAAAACTGGAATGATTATCCAAGTGGGAAACCTGGAATCATTTAACAAGAAACATAAATTGCAGACATGTTGATACAGAGAAGAGCTCTGGATTAAAATATTTTTAAGAAAAGGTTTTTAATGGAGTACAAAAATAATAAAACAAAAACAATAGCTCATTTTTATGGACTGCCTGTGAGGCACAGTGAACATGGACAACTTACAGGATTTGAACCCAGGCAGGACTGACCCAGTGTCTGACTCCTAACCACCGTGCCATGCCTTCCTCATATGATAAAGGCGATCGAATCCCACTTACTCAGTGGAGATTATTTGCAACAAAACTTTCCCCCAATTTTATCAGCTTCCCTAGAGGGTCAGACATGAGCAAGTGGGAGCTATATCTACGCTTGTTTCTTCTTTTTTAAAAAATTTTTTGTTTAACATTTATTCATTTTTGAGAGTGAGAGAGACAGAGCATGAGTGGGGGAGGGGCAGAGAGAGAGGGAGACACAGAATCGGAAGCAGGTTCCAGGCTCTGAGCCATCAGCCCAGAGCCTGACGCGGGGCTCAAACTCATAGACTGTGAGATCATGACCTGAGCCGAAGTCGGACGCTCAACCACTGAGCCACCCAGGCACCCCTCTACCCTTGTTTCTAAAGCCTCCTTGAATTGTGTACAAATAATGGGAAATGAAATAAATACCCTGAAGTGATGCCAAGCCCAGCTCAAGATCACTCATCACACCCCTCATCTGTCTTCTTTTTCAGCCCTTCTCTTTGCTCAGGCAAGAGCCAATCTATGACAGCTCTCCTCCCCAACTGCCTACTGAAGCCAGGCTCGTGGAAATCAAATAAAACACACACAAAAAATCTGTTTTTCGTTCAGATGATAGCTCTCTGCCTGAAACTGTTCACTGCCCGGAGTGAGGTACTCCCAAGCCCTATCAGAATCAGAGCTAAAATGAATCTTTTTGCTTGGCTGGTGTCAATGGGGCTGCGGGCCCAGAATATAAATATCTCTAATTCCTCCAAGCAGATTAGTCAGTTGTAAAGTATGAATGTGGAAAATGTTTCCATATGTCCACAGCCTTTTCTGATATTTCCACCCCCCCTCAACTTAATATATATATACGCCAAATCCCCATCCCTTGGAAGGTATTCAAGTGTGGGCAGAAACTTACATGCAAAAGGAGATGATACTTGAGAATCCGCTGAACTGGTTTCAAGAGATAGGAGCCCAGAGGCAGTGAGTGTTTCAAAGTTTCCTGACGTTCCCTGAAGAATTTGGCCAGCATCTTGTTCCGCATGCACTCTGTTAGCACAGCCACTGATCTGCAACAAGAATATATATTTTCACCCGAGTTGTAATGGTAAGATGAGTTATTCAAGTTTTAATGTATTGTTAAGATTATTTATTTATTTTGAGAGAGAGGGAGAGAGAGGATCCCAAGCAGGCTCTGCACGGTCAGCACAGAGCCCGATGCGGGGTCCAAACTCGTGAACTGTGAGATCATGACCTGAGTAGAAACCAAGAGTCAGACGCTTAACTGACTGAACTACCCAGGTGCCCCAGGTACTCAAGTTTTAATGGCCAACGTAAGTGTAAATGCCCTAAAACAGGTAGGGTAGCAACAGAGCTACAGCTAGACCAAAGTGCCTCTGGACAAATTAGAAAAAGGTATCTCTTTGGGTGGATGGATTAGAAAAAGGCACTATAGGGGGCTCCTGGCTCAGTTGCTTAAGGGTCCGACTTTGGCTCAGGTCATGATCTCACAGTTCACAAGCTCAAGCCCTGAGTTGGGCTCTGACAGCTCAGAGCCTGGAGCCTGCTTCGGATTCTGTGTCTCCCGATCTCTCTCTCTGCCCGTCTCCTGCTTGTACTCTCTCTCACAAAAATAAAAAACATTAAACAAAATTTGTTTTTTTACAGAAAATGTACCAAGAAAAAGGAGCTCTTTCTTCAGCAGATCCAGCCCCGAGCCGGACATTTGTCACCCCTTTTGCTGGTTGCCTTTGTATCATGTACAAACCGCATGATACTCCCTGCAGATCGTTGGAGGCTGTGGCCCACGGGTTAACCTCCCTTTGAACAGATCCCTCTAATGACAGTTTCTGAAACAGCTAGAGAACCTCCTCTCTTAGCGAGTGTGCCTCCCTCAGTGTACTAGGAAAGCAGGTCAGAGTTCCGTCTGCGTCCCAGCCCCCTAAAAGGCAATTAAGTAGACCCCCCCCCCCCCAACATCCCAAAGGACTAGTTGAAACAGTGTTCCTACCTTATACATAAAAGCTAGTGGGCTTCTGGAGTCACACACACAAGTAAATTAAAATCTTATGTTCTCATAACTTAGAAGAAAGCAGGTGGAAGTAATTTCAGCCCCTTTCTCCCCAAGTCAGTCATGTTTTCAGGATTCATTTAGAAAATTAGAGCCAAACAACCAAACAAGACTCCTTGGAAGGAAGTGAAATGGAGGTCCGAATCAACCTATTAGAATCACTTTTGTGCCCATCTGCTTTGAGAAGTATCTGTTCAAACGGGTTTATTTCCCACATAAGTGGAGATTTCAAAACTATTCTTTATCACGTAGCCAAGGGTCTTTTCTAAGGTTCTTCAGAGGCAGAACCAGTTGCCCAGGTGCCCTTTGGCCATATGAAGGCTTGAGCTCTTACCCACAGACAGGACACCTGCAACCAATTCTGAGTGCACCAAACTCCAGATTCAGGGCACAGGCAGACATCTGAGGACAATGACCCGACAGGGCCTGCACCCCTCGCCGGGGAAAGGAGGGAGGGCTTGTGTCTCTTCAAGATGAAACTATTGGGGCGTGACTGGTATGAAGAAGGTGGACATCTGTCAAGGGGTGCCGGCGACATTTAATATCCCCAGCTTGGATCCGAAGGGAGAAGAAATGTTGTCAGATGGGCTGAAACCCTCAGCGCTCTTGGCTTGTTAAGACAGGGGAACGGAAACCTGGGGCCTCAGACAGCAAACTGATTGGAGACGAGGGGACAAGAGGAAATCTTTTTCTAGGGATATGAAAACCACACGATTGGGCAAGCGCCGGACGCGCCTGCCTCACTGAGCCTGCCTGTCGAGCATCTCTCTGCTAACGTGTCTCTTTCCTTCGTCAAAGTCAAAGATATAAAATAAGAAAAAAAAGATATATACAAAACCCAAAAAGAAAAAAAAAAAAACAACACTTCCTCCAGGAAACCGTTCTAAACTCTCCTCAAGGGGACTTACTATTCCTCCTCTTCCTGTACCTTTAGCTTCTAGTACATACCACGAGTCTGGACTCCATTAATTTGTATTCACTCATTTGGTCTTCTCTAACACGCTATTGCGTGATTGCATTTAGTGGAGTTTGACGCTGAAAAAAACATAACATTTGCTAGAAGGCAAGGGATATTAGCTCCTATCTCCAGCCAGTACACGCGGAGCTTGGGACCATGCTCCATGAATGACAGGCTCGTAAAATCTGTGTCCTTGCTCAAATGATTTTGCCTGTCCTTTGACCCTGAAGCAGCCTCATATAGAAAAAGCAGCCTTTATTCTGTACTTTCCTTTCTTATTACTAAGTCAGAAAAATCTTAATAGAAACTTCCCAAACTACAAATTCAGATGTTATTTCTTTGAATGACATGTTTATGATGAAATTTACACACCCGCCCCCCCAACAAGCCCCTCTAGCATCTCTCATCCTGATAATTGCGTCCAGAAATGTGCTGATGCTTCAGAGTTCGAATGTTGTCCCCAACCCCCTTCCCTTGGTTAGGAGTTTAGTGGAGAAGTTGGGGGCCGATTCTGTGATTTCTCTGGATTGGGGTGTGGTACCATGCCGGTTTTTAGCCTGCGGTCCTCGGGATTTAGTTGGGGCATTCTACAATTTTCTGCTACCTTCAGCACACAGGTGGAAACAAATACCATGGGAGAGAGGCTTGCTTACGTGAAACTGTGTAAACTGCATGTGTCTGCTCATAAGGATATGGTGACAAATGTACGAGCTGACATGTGGGTTTGGGGTTTTTTGTTTGGATTTTAGGGAAACCTGGCCAATGCACAGTTGGGCGCGAACCAAATAAACCACTGCAGCACAATACCTTGACCCATGTCTAGAGAGGGAGACTAAACTCCTTCAATGGAAAGTATTTGTACATAAATCGCAGTCCCAGGCTTCATGCCTTTTAATCCACACTGGCTTTCTTTTTTTTTTTTCCTTAAATTTTTCAATTTTTATTTATTTTTGAGAGACAGAGTGTGAGTGGTGGAGGGGCAGAGAGAGGGGGAGACAGAGAGAATCCTAAGCAGGCTCCACACTGTCAGCACAGAGCCCCACGCGGGGCTCCAACTCACGAACCGCGAGATCATGACCTGAGCCAAAGTCGGACGCTTAACCGACTGAGCCACCCAGGCGCCCCTGTCCAGACTGGCTTTCCGGGGCCACTTCTGAACAGGGTTTCCATTTGTTCTTCCTTGCTGCAGCAGTACTAGGGGCTCAGCCTGCTGGCTTCTCTTCTAGGTGGATCCGGCCAACCACGTCATCCTTAGGGACATGTCTCCACCAAGATAGGCGACAGGGCACGTAGCTCTTATCTCCCTGGCTCGTCCCCCACGATAACTCCCATCAAGTTCTGCTGATCACGTGGGGGAAGTGGCAAAAAGGCACAGGGGTGGGGAGAATCACAAACCTTTAGAAACTTCACAAGGATGTAGTAGCTTTGGGTCTGAGGTTGGGGAAACCTCGATTCAGATTCTAGCTGGGCCACCCATCAGTTATGTGGCCCTGCGAAGGCAATAAACCTATTGGAGCCTCAGTTTCTCCATCCTTACATTGGGTTGGGGCAGGGGTGATTATGCACTAGCAATTGTTGAGAACCTATTATGCGCCTGGCACTGTGATGGATGCTTTGCTTTTCTTGAATCCCTTGGCATCTCTGGATTATCATGAAGGTTAAATCCAACAACACGTTGCATTTATAGCACTTAACACAATGATTAGGACTCAATAAATGCTCAGTACAAGTCTTTTGCTGAGAAAAGGAATGCCAACAGTGTGACCCAGGGTCTTCGGTCGGCCTCCCTCACTGAAATGGTCACTCTAGTGTCCATGTGGTGCTCCGTGCACTACCCTCCTGTGTGGCTTCCAGTGTAAACGAAACGAAAGCCAAGATCAAGTGAGATGAGGAGGCCTTTTTACATAGTTCTTAGAAATTATATAGCAAAGATATAACATATTCTATCCCCAGCTAGATTATATAAACTCATTCTCAGCACATCCCAAATTTTTCAAAACACGGCACACGTACAGGAGGGTCAACGGACAAGAATCACAGCCAAACACAACAGGTTTACTTAGGTTTCCACGGAAGGACACCTCGCAACCTTTTTGGTCTCCTTCACGGTCTTTCACACTTTCCCTCCCACTGGCTTTGCGGGGAGTCCCAGAGCTGAATGGATGGATATCTGGGTAGCCCGTAATCCATTGTCAGCACGCTGTGGAGACTCCCCGGGGCACCCAGTGCACGGCCAGGTTCAGGACGCCTAACACCAGCATACGTCGGACCCCTCGACCTGAAACAGTATGCAAGTGCAGAAATGTACTGTGGTATATTCCCAGCGTGTACCTTGGATAGTTAGTGCAGTACTGCGTGTAAATGTGGAACTCTTCACTCTGCAAGGAAACAAAAGAGACTTTTAGAGGCAAAAAAATAAAAAATAAAAAATAAAAAAAGAAAGAAAGAAAGAAAAGCACAGGCATCACCATTCATTTAAAACGATAAAAAGAAACATCATTCATACTTGTAAATCTGGCTCTGTCGTCACGCGGGCCTGTCTGAGCCCCTGTGGCAATCATCGATGTCTTTTTTATCTACCTTGTTTCATACCTAGAATCAACTCGAACTCATCTGGGTTCAAGAGACACTTACTGAGCACCTGCTGTGTTAGGTGAATCTGAAGGCAAAAAGGAAGAGGAGGAAAATGAGGTTTCTGCCTCAGGCACTCCTAGTCCTCCCAGTAGATGTGCAATGTGAAAGAGAAATAGAATATCATCTAATTATGGTGGTAAGAACACGGGGAAATACGTGCAGGGCACAAGAAAACTGTGCTCTCAAGCCCTTGTGTATACAGTTGTCCCTGCCCACTGTCCCACCTCGCAGCCACCATGCATCCTTTGACATTGAACTTAGGCTTTTTTCCTCCAAGGAGCCTTTCCAGAGCGCTAGCCAAGCTAACTGCTCCTATGCTGGGGTTCTGTGACACCCAAATCTCTCGTAGCATTTACCGAGTGGTAGTGTCATTTCCTCCGAATCTGTGTCTCCCACTCCAGACTGTGAGTTCCTACAAAGTAGGGGCCATGTTGTATTCACATCACGCCTGTGCAGCTACCAAATCCCCCCTCTTTTCTACTAAACCGGAAATTACCTGAGAGCAGGGTTCAAGCCTACTTTTCTGTTCGCACCAGCATGGTAGCAATGCCTCAAATGCCATAAATGTCTGACTCACCAATGTGGGGTCCTTGCCTTTTCCTGACACCACATTCCCGGTGCCCTAGTTTCTTCCTTGGGCTTTCAAATGTCTAGTCATATTACCAAATATTGAGAAATATTAAATCAATCTTCGTTCGTACAGTATTTTGTTTAAAAGGTAAAACCATGACTTCCATGCAAATATAGAATAAACAGTATCAAAGATTTTATTTAACCTACTGCTCGGTGAGGAAAGCAGTAGGCTATTGTAACTGGTTTTAAGGATAAACACAAGCTTGGCGCGTAGGTCAACGGGGAATGCGGATAGGAATTTACAGATACCAAACTGCTTTCTTCTATAGGGTAAAGAAATCCAATGTCCCTCTATGGGACAGTTTTCATTTGCATGTCTGTGGTCAACAATCACTGACATTGCTATCAGTTATCAAAAATTTAGAGTTAGAAGATAGTTCGAAGACAATGAGAGATGCAGAAAGTCTACTGAGTTGTATAAATTAGAAGGGTGAATTGGAAAATTCTTTCCTAGTGGAGGCACCCAGCAATCTTTGCGGTTGGTTTCAAAGTCTTTCACAATTTTCCCCTACATTGCCAAGAGGGATGCAGATGGGCAGGTGAGAGAGCAAAAGCCTGGGTTTTTAAACTTTAGACTGTAAAACTTTCAGTCTGAGTAAGTAATTCAAGGCACTGAATTATTAGTTCTTGTAAACTCTAAAATGGAGTTATATGATTTAAAAGAGACATTGCATTATTTGGGTGGTATTTCATATTCTGCCTTTTTTACTTTGAAACTACTTTAGGGTGGATTAAGAAAATTTTTTTAATGTATTCATTTTTGAGACACAGAGAGACAGAGCATGAGCACGGGAGGGGCAGAGAGAGAGGGAGACACAGAATCTGAAGCAAGCTCCGGGCTCCGAGCCGTCAGCACAGAGACCGACACGGGGCTCAAACTCACGGACCGTGAGATCATGACCTGAGCTGAAGCCAGATGCTTAACCGACTGAGCCACCCAGGCGCCCCAATTTGAGATTTTTTTTAACGTTTATTATTTATTTTTGAGAGAGAGAGACAGAGCATGAGCGGGGGAGGGGCAGAGGGAGAGGGAGACGAAAGCAGGCTCCAGGCTCTGAGCCATCAGCACAGAGCCCGACGCGGGGCTTGAACCCACCGGCCGTGAGATCATGACCCGAGCCGAAGTCGGACGGTCAACCGACTGAGCCACACAGGCACCCCAAGGCTGGATTTATATGTGACTGGAAGACAGTGACTTTTTCTTTTCTTTGTTTTGGGGGGGGGGTCATTTTAATACGTTAATTGATTGTTTTTCCTATTTAAAAGAATTATCTACTTAGAATCCTTTCTGCTCGCTTGATGAGGATTAGATGTAACATTTTTTATTAGAGAAAGTCTCAAACATATTTATAAATAAGTGGAGAGGATAGTGTAAGGAATCTCCAAGCATCCATCACCTGACCTGGATATTAACTCATGGTTTATACCCACCTACTTCCCTACCACTCCGAAGCAAATTCTAGACATAGGATCATTCCACTTGTAAATATTTCAGTATACATCTCTAACGTAAAGACTTTTAAAAAGAAGCATCACCACAGTGCCATTATCACCTTTAAGTAATTCCAAACTATCATGAATGTTCAGCCGTCACTATTCAAATCTCCTATCTTCTTAATTTTCTTTTTAAAAATAGTTGGCCTATCTGATTTGGAACCCAAATAATATACAAGGCAACTGGTTGATACCTCTTAAGATCTTTTAATCTATAAGCTCCCCTTTTATCTCCCCCCCCCGCCCCCGCCCTTGCAATTTAGTTGAAGAAACCAGACTGTGTGTCCTAGAGAGTTTCTCATGGCCTGTCTTGCTGGTTATGTCCCTACGGTTTTCTTTCATGTGTCTCCCTGCCCCCTGCACTCATGTGGTTTAGGGGAAGCCTGAACAGGCTTATGTTCCATGGTTTGGCATGAATACATCCTAATTGTATTTTACTTCCATCAGGAGGCACAGGGTGTCTGGCTGTCTTTCTCTTTGTGATGTTAACCACCAATGGTGATTATTGTCTGATTTATTAATTCGTTAGGAGCTGCCAAATGGTGGTATTTCTGGTTCTATGATTCCTTCATTTGTTAGCCAGAGTCCTTCCAAAAAAGGAACTTCCTTATGTTAATCGTTACCCCGCAGTTTGTAGTTTGTATGGAAAAGGCAGGATGGATGCTTGATAATTTTCCCTATTTTTCAGGATGAGGCATTGGCTCTCTAGCATCCTGCAAAGGCCACCACTTTGAGTTTTTTTGATCACTGTGAATTCATGAATAGAAACATCTAATGAGTTTCAGCTGTTTTAAAAAAAAAAAATTTTTTTTAAATGTTTATTTATTTTTGAGACAGGGAGAGACAGCATGAACAAGGGAGGGTCAGAGAGAGGGAGACACGGAATCTGAAACAGGCTCCAGGCTCTGAGCTGTCAGCACAGAGCCCGATGTGGGGCTCGAACTCACGGACTGTGAGATCATGACCCGAGCCGAAGTCGGATGCCTAACCGACTGAGCCACCCAGGAGCCCCAAGTTTCAGCTGTTTTTAATTAATTGTCCTTACTGATGCTGAAATGTCCCATCTTTGGCCAGCAGGAGCCTCTCCTTTAGCATTCGTGACCTGACCTACAGCCTCCAACAGCTACCTTGTTTTCTGGAATGATAAGACGTTCTGGATCATCCTGTACATTTCCTGCCCCAGACTCATCCTTCATGGAGCCCGGATTCCTTTTGGTAGGAATTAGTATTTGGAGACCACAGTCTGGGCATCAGAGATGGTCTTGCTACTGTATTCATCGTTATTTCCAGGCCTTTTTGGTGGACAGAGCTAGGAATATGGTGTTTTTTAAAGATAAAATACATCCTTGGTTCAACCTGGCAATTCGGATTCAGGATTGGAGCATTTTTTTTTTTTTTAATTTTTTTTCAACGTTTATTTATTTTTGGGACAGAGAGAGACAGAGCATGAACAGGGGAGGGGCAGAGAGAGAGGGAGACACAGAATCGGAAACAGGCTCCAGGCTCTGAGCCATCAGCCCAGAGCCCGACGCGGGGCTCGAACTCACGGACCGCGAGATCGTGACCTGGCTGAAGTCGGACGCTTAACCGACTGCGCCACCCAGGCGCCCCAGGATTGGAGCATTTTTAATTAGCATCATTCTTCGTCTGTATTTTCTGCCTTTTACCAATTCTAGTTCAATGATACTGACATAAACACCTTGTTGTATCCCACAATACACTCAATTTCAGCAGAACAATACCAACACCAGCACATTTGATATCATTATCGAAAACAGTTAAAAATGTATTTGCTGTATTTTCTCCACAGTCGATTTTAAAATCAACTGGAATTTCCTTCGTGTGATCATGCCACAAATTGGCTCTATCCACAGGCTCATCATTTCATTTTGTTTTCATTTTTGGAGACTGCTTTTTTAACTTTCATTTTGTCTTATAACTATGTAAAATATTTACATGGGTTCAAGGTCAACTCTGTAAGAAAACGCGTATTCAAAGAAGTCTAGCTTCGGTTCCTTTCCATACTAGTCTCTCTCTCCATCCCTATCGGCGACCAATTTTTAATTTCACAGTTGATTCTTTTTTTTTTTAAAAAAAGTTAATACCAGTGTAGTTAACATACGATGTTATATTTAGTTTATCCTTTTTTTTTTTTAAATTCCCATTTAAATATAGGCATGTCCTTCCACATTTCTAGATAAATAAAAGCAAATTATTTGTCAGTGATTCTCAAACCTGAGTATATGTCACAACTACCTGGAGAGCTTGTTAAACAGAGATTACTGGGTTGCATTCCCAGAGTTTCTGATTCCGTAAGTTGGCTGTGGGTCTGAGGATCTGCATCCTAACAAGTTCCCAAGAGATGCTGGTGATGCTGGTGCTGCTGGTCTAGGGAGCACACTTTGAGAACCGCAGTGTTGCACACTTTTATCTACTTCTCTCTCCACCCGTCCCAGTAGTACACAGAGATACTCTTGAGTTGTTTCTACTGCTTCATACTATTCCATTATGTGGATATGCCATGATTCATTCAAAGAGCTTCCTGTTTGTTGACATTTCGGCTGTTTCTCTATATTGTATATTTCTATGTATTTCTATACATTATTTATAGAATTTGTATATAATGTATATTAATAAAATATTTCTATACATGATATGTATCTATACATTGTGACGATTATTACTATAAGACTAGCACCACACTTACTGCATTTTTGTTGCTGTATCTTGGGAATAGATTTCTGGAAGGAGGACTGCTGGATTACAGGATGACTTCAAATGTAATTTTGCTAGATACACCCCAATTCTCCTCCACGGGGCCTGTGCTACTCAGTTTCGCCACAATCATAGTTAGCCTCGCTTACTTCGTATGCTGCCACATTTTCAAACATACTACTTTTTTAAACACCTAAATTAGTTGCCAGCTTCCAAAAGTTGGAAGAGAAAAATGTCTTGAGTTCTGGCTTCTCCTGAAACAGTGTTAGATGCACGGGCCCTGGCGCCCAGTTTCATAGGACACTCACGCCCTCACAACACAGGTACCGAGGCTGCTCTAGCCCCCACCTGGGCCCACGCATGCGCTACATTCACCTGGTTAAGCCCCTGAAGGCACTGGAGCGTCCAGCCTCCACAGACGAGATGAGCAAAGAGATCTGCCTGAGGTCACCCAGTAAATTAATGGCAGATAGAGCCTTTCTCTGGGTGCACTCACACGCTCTCAGTTTCTTGCTCCTTTTCTGCCTGCCTGCTGTTGTAGTCAACCTGGGATTGAACAACTATCAGGTTGACTCTCCTAAATTTAGGAACTTTTAGGATCGTTTGCAATGACAAACTTAAAAACAACGGCTGCAATGAAAATATATCTGAATTACATCATATACTTGCCCTGCATACACCTTCCCCCTAATAAAGCCTCAGGACTGTTGCACGACTGAATCGCTGTGCATTTTGTGACACCATGGCTCTATTCCAATCTTAAATCAGGCAGTTTTGATTTAAAGCAACTACATGGTCTTAACATAGAATCAAATGTACATTTGACCTTCGATTTATGAGCTCTGTGGACAATTCCAACAATGGTTTTTTACAAAAATCAATAGCCCTGAGTTAGTTAATCCTTAAATGCCTTTTACTCAATGTATGCTACCCCAATTCCTTTTTAGAACTATTTAGGGAAAAAGACAATGACAAAGAAAGCATACAAAAATAGGTATTTCCTTCTGATTAAACTCTGTCAAACTGTAATTACAGGTGTAAAAATGGGACATTTAATTATGAAAGAACCAAAATAAAAGAGACAGTCAGGGATGGCCAATTGAGCATATGGGGTACTCAACTGTTTACTGAATGAATAACCAGATTAAAGAAATCTGTACGATTTTAGGGTCTCTTTGGTCATGGGGTCCATCTCTTTCATGTGTGAGCGCGCTCTCGCTCTCTCTCTCTCTCGCTCTCTCTCTCTCTCTCTCTCTCACACACACACACACACACACACACACACACACACACACACACACAGACTTTGATTCCCGAGGAGTTTTCACTGGACACTATGAGAAAGGCTTAATATGTAAGTAGCATACGGGTGAGGTAACATGAACTTGAATTCATTCCAATGGTAGGAATATCCAATGTCAGTACTTTCCTGAGGATAATTTCAGTAAGCGGATAGGGGGTGTGTGTGCACGTGGGTGTGCGTGCCTGGGCACTGAAGGGAGAAGGGCACCAAGGGAGGCGGGAGGAGGGGCTCAGGGGACGCGGGGTCTCTGAAGATAAACTTTGTCTCCCTCTTAACTGCTGTCTGCGGTCAGCCCAGCTGACAGTCGAGATAAGGGACAGAAATGAGGGTGAGGTGAAGGCAGGAAACCAAGGAAAACTGCTCCAGGTGTTTCCGGAGTCCTAAGAACAGACAGATGCTCAGCTGGGAGACCGCTTGGCCTGCCCACCGGGGAGCTTTTACTTTTGTCCCCCCCAAGGAATGGCCCCTGCAGTCCCTTGTCCTTCTTTTCTAAGCAGCAGGTAAGAAGTACCGTATTCCCCTTTTGTCAGGAAGGATTTCTGTAATCTCCACATACCACAAAAGCAAGGTCAAAGATGAGTCTCTGCGTAAGCCCCAGTGATTCAGATAAAAGCAGAAGTCAATTGCCAGCTTTACCTCTTTCATTAATGGCCTCTCAATTAAAGCAATTTTCCATTCCTCCCCAGAGTGGAGCAGCTGGTTGTGTTTCAGAAATCGTAACATCTTCTAAATTTCAGGGTGCTGAGTGAAAAGCAGGCTGTGCCAGAACTGAACGCTCGCTGCTTACATGTGAAAGTGCGGAGTGCCCAAGTTAGTCTTCTAATTAAACTTGGCAATATTACAATGAAAAATAAGATCTGGGAGTTGGCAACGTGGCGCATAAACAAACTTTTATGTGAATAATTAAGCCGGAGCTAAGCATATGCTGGACCGTCTTTAATCAGCTTGTGATTACAGTTACCGGTAAAAGCCCCAGCGTTTCCGATGGTTTCCATGTTGTTTATGCGCTGTGGCTATTCTCACATATCTACTCTGATATATACTCAGCACCTCTTTTTACCCCCTTTCTCCCTCTTCCACTTGCCTGCTCTTTTTTAAATTCCTACCCTTCTGGAGAATCAATTATGACACAGGCAACGTGTGAGAAGAATTGTGTAAGCATGCGTGCACATTGTACATGTTAACACGCTGACACCCACACAGCCGCCCACCATCGGGAGTATTTTATATGCAAGCCCATCAACTGCCTTTAAGGAATCATGCTTCAAGGAAACCCAGGGTGTTGTGATTGGATTCAGTACCACTGGATGGATCTGTGGCTGTAAGAAATGCCCCTGTGAAACACGTCCTGAGCCAGGGTCAGACATCTCAAAGTTCACAGTGCACTCTGGAGTGTTAAATGAGGTGCTAATTCTTGGTTGATCCCAAAGTACCATCATGAACCTTGCCTAAACCTTTGCACACTTGAAACCACAACTGCAGAAATCACATGAAGGTTTGCTGAAAATCATTTCCACTAGACCTTTTCCAAATGAAAGCTACTGAATGTTTAAGACAAACTTAAGATAGGATTCTATATATAGCAGGTAGGTAGCAAGTGAGAAAAGAGTGTAAAGGATTGTCTTGTATGTTTCAGAATCCTGGTACAGAGCTGACCATTTAAGCTTTAACGGTCAGAGCCTTTTCTTATATTTTTCTCAGCCATCAATGCAGCTTAAGAAAAATGTAGGAAAATGAGAGGGCATATTTAAGATAGAAGAGATTAATTCTGCCATCTCTTTATTCCCCGGTGATAATTATATAGCCTCGGCTAGCACCACGTACATTATATATAGAATACCTAGATTCCAACAGATTTTTGTAACTGGTCTTGTGGTACTTCATATGTATTATTTTTCAAATGTTATCCTATTCTGCGTTTTTCCTCCCCACCAAGATTAATTTTTTTTTTTCCCTAGGAAAGATGAGTAAACATCATTCAGTTACTCTGTAAGTTCAAGGACAACTACTAAGTTAGTACCTCCTAACTTACTAGGGACAGTAACAGTATTTTTTTTTCCTTGCTAGTGGAAAAAAAACAACAAAAAACAGAGTGAAGAGAGATTAGTGGCTAACTTCATCCAGTATGGAACAAACCAGTCATTTTAACTTTAAAATGAAAACAATTTGCAATCTGTGCCTGTCTTGGTTGGCCAAGAGAAATGAACCTTGCTTACCTTGGACACAAAACATTCTGCTATGGCCACAGGATCGTTTTCACAGTTTTCCAAATCTTGTAGAAGTTCACTAAAAAAAAAAAAAAAAAAAAAAAAAAAAAAAAAAAAAAAAAAAAAAAAAAAGCCAGAAAGTATTATAGTTTGATTATCGAGGACATTTTATATTACTTAGAAGTCTATACATTTATAGGGCATTTACAAGGAATCTTTTTTTTTTTTTTTAAGAAAGCTTTTACTAGTGGTCAAAGCCAAAGTGCACTCTCAAGGTGGGAGAGCAGGCAGCCCAGAGCTGGCAACTGCTGTGAGGAATCACATTTAACTGGATAACTGATGACCCATTGTCATTTTATCCAAAGCTTCCATTAGGGACTTGCCCAAGGTCATGGTGCAGCAGGGATTTAAACACAGGTCCAACCCATAACTCTCCCACCTAGAGATAAGCCCAGCCTGACACTGAAGTCTTCTACACGGTTGGCATTGTCTGTACACATGTTTACACACACTTACTCATTCATCACATAGCTGTCTAGGGGCCGAATGCTAGGCAAGGCACTAAGAACAAACACATCAGTGAGCCAAATGACATATGGTCTGTAAGTGCTTGGAGCTCGGAATCTATTGGGAGAGTCAGACATTCCATCAAAGGTCACACACACTAACAAATTTAAAATTATAAACAGAGAGGGGCACCTGGCTGGCTCAGTTGGTACAGCATGTGACTCTCGATCTCGGGGTCAATGAATTCAAGCCCCACATTGGGAGTCGAACTAATTTAAAATAAAATAAGATAAGATAAAATAAATTAAATAAGATAAGATAAGATAAAATAAAATAAGATAAAATAAAATAAAATAAAATAAATAAAATAAAATAAAATAATAAATGGAGATAGTGCTCTAAAAGAAAGCTACACTGGGAGGAAATATTTTTCCTCAGATGAAAAATCTTATTTTTTAATGGGAATATAATTATTTTAAGTAACTGCATAATACTTCATTGTGTGGCTATACCATAAGTAATGGAACTAATCTCCTACTGTTGGATAAAGGTCTATCAATGGAATTCCTGGGTCAAAGGCTATCGCGGGCTTATATGTTAACACATTTCCAAATTACACGTTGTATAAGTTGTATTAATATATATTTTATATGTTTATTTTTTTTATATGTTTATTTTAATTAGGGATATATATTTAATAAAAATGTAAATAGTTCTACAGGAATTACAATAAAAACAAGCAGTTTCTTGTTTTCCATTTCCCATGCTGGACCGCCATCCTCCAGAAGCATTCTCCACTTCTTCTGTTTCTGCTGTATGTATCCACGGCTCTAAACATGCCAGTAACGCATTTTCAGTATTTTTTGAGCTATTATTTCCTTCTTAATTTGCCCAAACTTCCCTTCATCCCTTCATCTTGCCAACAATCTCTCTCATGAAATTTGATTAAGGTCAGAGCTTACATTTTGATGACCGTGTCAATATTATTCTTAGCTGAGCCCTGGAGTATACCATAATTATATTCCCTTTCATGTAACACCAGGTTTCCCCTGGAGTTAAAGTCGTCCTTTTTTTTCCCCCTTAGTTTTCAAATATACACCAGTTGTCCTCAAACTTTGCGGGAAGCATAATTCTTTGCCTCGCTGCGTTCAAACATCAGATCATCTACTGGTCGGTCGTCTTCTTTCTTGGTGACCTCCCTGCTGGAGCCCTTGGTCCTTCCACTCTGCTCTCACCTAGACGGGCTGCTCTCCCAGGCCTGCGGGGTTGTCTCTTCAACCCCATCCCGATGATGCAGGTCACCTGGTTCCTGTGTTACACGCCCCGCTTCTTAGATACCATTTCAGATGTATCCTTCTTTTTGAGATTACGACATCCAGTAGCTGTCTAAGTAAGGGCAGTAGGCAGTAAATTTTCTGACACTCTTCCTGTTTTAGAATGTTCTCCTTTCACACTTTGCTGATCATGTCAGTGGATACAGAATTCTTGGTTGGAAATGATCTTCTCTGAGTATTTGGGAAACTATCTGTTGCTCTCTGAATTCCAATGCTGCTGAGAAGTCCAATAACATTCTGATCCATGATCCAGGTTTCATGTGACCTGATTTTCTATTCTGGAAGCTCTTAAGAGTTTTCGCCTTGTTAACATACTTCTGAAATTCGGTGATGGCCCACTTTGGGGTGAGTCTTTTCATGCACGAAGCCAACTTGACTATTTGGGAGATGTTCTTGAGCAATTGCTTCTCAAAGTGACCCCCAGGTCCTGAGGTCCTGAGACCTCTTCAGGGGGTCGATAAGGTCACTATTTCTATAACAATTCTTGGACAATTTTGGATTTTTTTTTTACATTCATTCTTTCATGAGGCTACAGTGGGCTTTTTCAGATGGAAATTAGAAGCAGACTAAGAATGCAGCTGTTTTCTAGTAAGTCAGACAATAAACTTGTGAAAATGGAAAACAATTCCAACACACACACAAATGTTAGTGAAAAAGAACAGTAAAATTATTTTTCTAAAAATGGGTGGTTATTATTATTTTTTTTTATTTAAAAAAAAAATTTTTTTTTCAACGTTTATTTATTTTTGGGACAGAGAGAGACAGAGCATGAACGGGGGAGGGGCAGAGAGAGAGGGAGACACAGAATCGGAAACAGGCTCCAGGCTCTGAGCCATCAGCCCAGAGCCCGACGCGGGGCTCGAACTCACGGACTGCGAGATCGTGACCTGGCTGAAGTCGGACACTTAACCGACTGCGCCACCCAGGCGCCCCAATTATTGAATAAATTGAAATTTTAACAATTTTTCAGTTCTAATTTCTATCATGGTAAAGAAAACATCATAAGCCATAAACAAAAAAAGCTTTTTGGGTCCTTAGTAATTCTGAAGCATGTACAGATCCTGGGACCAAAAAGCTAAGGAACTTTTGTTCCTAAATTAGGTCTTTGATATTTTCTCTCCTCCATTTTCACTTCTCTCTTTGAAGCTCCTACTATTCACATTGAATTTATGTTTATTTATTTTTGAGAGAGAGAGAGAGCCTGCATGCTCAAACGGTAGAAGGGCAGAGAGAGAGGGAGACAAAGAATCCGAAGCAGCTCCAGGCTCTGAGCTGTCAGCACAGAGCCCCATGTGGGGCTTGAACTCACGAACCACGAGATCGTGACCTGAGCAGAAGTCGGACACTTAACTGACTGAGCCACCCAGGTGCCTCCTATTATTCACATTTTCGATCTCTTGGTGTGATACTCTAATCTTTCTTATTCTTCCTCTATCTTCCATCATCTTGTTTATTGTTCATTTTCTGGGAGACTTCAATTTCATTTTCTGTCCCCTCTATTGAACGTTTTCATTTCTTCTATTTGATTCTTAATTTCAAGGTATTTTTTTAAATAGGCTGTTTAGGTGGTTCTTATGTTTCTGTTCTTGTGAGTGCAAAATTTCTCCTCTCCAAGGATGATGACATTACTATTATTATTATTAATTATTTTGGGCCTTTCTTTCCTGCTCTTTGGTTTCTGCTGAGCTCTCTTTACACCGTTTGATCATTTTGGCTTCTGTCATTCATGTTAGAGGCTCTTCCCAAATATCTGGGGATATTAAATTGTCCTTTCATGGTTGAAAATGAGACACGGCAATGGCAACTGTAAACTATGCAAGTGGAGCTTTCCATGGGATTCTGGTCCCTCAAGGCAGCTGTCCTCAAACTTTGTGGTATCCAGACCCATGCACAGAGTCTAAAAAATTCTTTATGTGGATCATATCCCTGGATATTTTTATTAGAAATTAAAACTAAATATTTTAGAAAACTGATCAATTCATATAACAAACCCAATACATGTTAATATGATAACGTTCTGTGAAAACCAGGTTTTATAAAACAAAGTTTGGTGAGAAGACTAGTGTTGTTTTACATTTTTGTAAATCTCCAATGTCGACCCCAACGGAACACGGATGGATTACTTCTGCATTCAATCTGCTACAATCTGTTATTTTGATTGAAGTACGCAGAAAACAATCTAGCCTCACCCGGATACGTCACTAGAAAACAGAGGAGACTTTGAATAGCCTATTAAGTGTGGTTATGCTTCTTTGATATTACACTGAAACTGAACACATGGCAGTTTCTTAGGTATCTGTTGGAGTCTGAAACCATACCAAGGCACTATACCCTGTTACTTTAAAATCCATTGGTCTATTTTGGGCGCCTGGGTGGCTCAGTCACTTGAGTGTCTGACTTAGGCTCAGGTCATGATCTTGCGGTTTGTGAGATCGAGCCCCGTGTCGGGCTCTGTGCTGACATCTCAGAGCCTGGAGCTCACTTCGGATTCTGTGTGTCTCTCTTTCTCTCTGCCCCTCCCCTGCTCATGTTCTGTATCTCTCTGTCTCAAAAATAAATAAAAACATTAAAAAATAAAATAAAATCCATTGGTGTATCTTGCACATTGAAAGGACCTTTTACCAATGCAAGATTTCATGATGGTCCCAATATCAAACATCCATTCCTAATATTCCCATAAAAACATCCCCTTTGTAAGATTATTAATACTTTGGAAAATACAGTTCCGATATTTGTATCAATATCTCTTACAGGTAGATGGGTATGAATTAAAGATAGTTGACATCTAATCATTGGGACCTAAACACTGGATGAAGAGAATAGGTTGAAGAAAAATAATAGCCAAAGAAGCAACATTTCTGGGCCAGTGATTTCCATTACCGGAGGATGGCATGCTCAGGACATAGGTTTTGCGTCCAGGGATTTCATTATAAATCCTCTGTCTGCTCAGAGAATAATTTTGAGCAGAATCCATCGTGGCTTAATAGAAATACTCCTTGACAATATTTAACTCCCTATGTTCTTTTTAAAATTTTTTTTGAAGTTTCAGGGTTTATTTGTTATAGCAACTACCGTACCTTAAGTAACACATGGAGAATATTAAAATAAATCAGCAAGCATAATATTAAAAGGAAATAGGAAACCCGAATAATAATCCATTTTCATAAATGTACACACACACAAATAGCTCTCTGGGAAACTAGATGAAAGATAGTATGAATCAAGACATGAAATATCA